CGCCCTTAAAGATGAGGTAAAGTCCGTTCTGCGCATATATTCCGCGCATCAACACATTCCATCAGTGGGGGAGCAACTTTTGGAATGTTAATGATATGCGATATTAGCGCGTTGTATTACAAACGGCAATTCGGGAGCACAATTATTTTATTTTATGTCGCAAGGCGAAGAGCCTCGAATTGCGAGTGATGAAGATAAGGCTGCTAGAAAAAAAGCAATAGTAATATAAAATAAGCATATTCATCACAGCCGGTCGTGCGAGAACGAGAAGAAAATAAGAAAATTAATACGACCCGTACGTCAAGTAAAGATTATATAACAAACGTAAACAAAGATTGTTGTGCGCGGTATAAATGCGCAGAACGGACTTTACATCATCTTTAAAAGTACATATATTTAGATATAATATAAAATTCTGCTTGAGTTTTCATTAAACCCTAACCCGACTTCTAAATGAGCTCGAGCTAGGGGGGAGGTCTTCCGCTCTTTTATAGCTAATAAACCTTTTTTGTGATATGGTAAACAATTCAAATATATAGCAACGCCATCATAACTACATAATTAAAATTTTAAAAGATTAAAAAGAGGAGAAAGTCCGGTACTGTGCATGTGAACCTGCCTCAAAGTGTATAAATAGAAAGCATTGTGCATTGTATGTCTGTTCCAAGTTTCCAACTATATTATATATAAAAATCTTTTCAGTAAAGCCTGCTGCATGGCCATGACTTTTTTATATTTCTCAAAAGGCATCAAAAGATTCAAGACTTTGGCACAGGTCATATTCATGGCGACAGGATATGAAAATACTTTGCAAGGTTATGACGTGAGTCGTTTTCAAGCAGAAGTTAGAAAGGATCTGCTTTGTTCTATTTGTTATAAAGTTCCAAAGAATCCCAGACTTTGCCAACACCAAGAACATATATTTTGTTTCTCTGATATCTCACAATGGCTCCTAGGACATAAAACATGTCCAGTTTGCAGAGATTCTCTGAATCAAGAAACCTTGAGACAACCAACAGGATTTCTGAAGAATTATTTGGACGACCTAAAAATCAAGTGTGATCATCATGAACGAGGATGTCCTGACTACGTTCGTCTGGAACATCTTCCAAAACATGTCGAGGAATGTGGATATGGTCCTGTCATGTGTCGTAATGAAGGATGTGATACAGAGGTCAATAGAAGAGATATTGAAACTCACGAGAAAACGTGTGAAAATATCCAGGTGAGTCGAAATGGAAACTATGGGCGCAAAATGGTCAGACAGGTCATAATTTGAATTGTAATAGAGTATTTATTAGAAAATGTAGCGGTGAAACTGCATTTTTCGTGCTAGGCGGATGTAAATATCGATATACTTGAATGCATATTCCTTAAAACACTCTAAAATACCAGTAATCTGTCTGTACTGAAACACAACAGGACCGGTCTGGCCGTTTTTACCGTATAAAGGAAAGCGCCTTATGTTTGGATTTAGAGATCAAATACGCATTTTATAAAAACGTTCTATAAAAAAAAGAGCGAGATTAAATCGGCTAATTTCTAAATAATGTAATGGCTAATTCCCGCAGCGCGGAACAGGCCTTGGAGGGAAGATTCCGGGCAGAAAACAGGAAGCTTATTTCGTGAAAAATATTTGAATCTTGGATACACCTCTGATCAATCGTAGTTTGTCGAATTGTAGGCGAATTATGTCTAATGTATGACAACAATTTCACTTTTACTTAGAAAAATGTGGATGGATTAAAAATGAGTCAGAATGAAATGAATGTTCGAATGACTTCATTGGAAAGAAAACAGGATGAAATGGAGAGAAAACAGGATGAAATAAAGGTAAGATTAACCATTCAGTTAATATTTGTTTTAAATTAGAATGGATTGAGTTGTTGTTAAAAAATTTAATTGTGCATGGGTTACTGAAATCTGACACTTACCATTAATAATTAATAAATTAAACAAACAATCTGACTTAGAAAAACGTGGATGAAATTAAGGGAAGTCAGGATCAAATGAATGTCCAAATGACTGCGATTGAATGTAAACAGGATGAAATGAAAAGAAGTCAGGATGAAATGAAGAGAAATCAGGATGAGATGAAGGTAGGACAAGTCTTTTAGTCATTCATATCTTTGAAATAAAATGAATTGAGGTCAGTGACGGTCCACGAATTTTGAGATCAGTGACATGACCACGCATGGTTAATCTTGTATCCGGGATAATTGATGAACTTCAGAAGTCTTTAATACTTTTCTTACCTGGGACCTGCTTACTTTCCCCTGGACCTCGGCGTAGAAACATTTCTAGTAGTAAGATTGCTGGCGGTAATTTAAACTTTGGTGATATCAATGCATCATCGGCTGATTCGCGTGATTAAAGAAAATTTATTTTTAATTTAGCAAAGTATGAACGAGATGAGAGAACAGTTTGAGAAAATAATGACGATGATGAACCAAACAATTCAAAGAAATAATACAAACAAGAATGGTGCTAGCGCTATGAATCACGCAGGTCCAGTCAACAATCAAGATGTTATTATTATTGGTGGTGATTATGGCCTAAGAAGTGACGAGGTATTAAATACAGTCGAGATATACAACATACTAGAAAAAAAGTCAACTCGGCTGCCACGATTGAATCATCATCGAGTAGGATCAGCATCGTGTGTTTACAACAATGACGTTCTTGTCGTTGGTGGTTCCAATGGTAAAGAAGCAACTGACAAGATCGAAGTTTTGAAGATGAACCAACATCCTTTGCAATGGACAATGTTTAATGGTAAACTGCCTGTCAAATTATCTGGTCATGACGTCATAGTTTATCAAGGAAAATTATATATAATAGGAGGACATGACGAAAATCAAAGAAAAACATCGGATGCCATTGATGAGATTGCTCTTACCCCACCTTACACTGCCAAGCTGCTGACGAGAATGCCTGAGGCAAGAAAATATCACAAAGCAGAACTTGTTAATGGAAAACTATTTATCTTGGGCGGAACAACAACCGGCTTTCCTAGAGATGCTCTTGACAGCGTTGTTGTTTATGATTTCATTAAGAATGAGTTGGAGCCATGTCCATCGTTACCTCAGTCTGTTTGTTTTATGTCCACAGTCACTTGGGGTCATTCTATTATCATCTTTGGCGGTGCCGATAAGAATTACCAGGTATTAAATGACGTCATCATGTACGACACAGAGACTGGACGAAGCGAGAGACTTCCCTCCATGATTTACAAAAGGGGCGGCACTGCTCTGTCGTAATCATGAATGACGTCATTGTCGTGTTTGGTGGATGGAATAAGGAGCAGGGATATCTCAACTCAGTGGAATCTTTCACCATTGGTGGAGTTGGCTGGAAAGAACTGCCAGGAATGAAAGAAAAAAGACGCAATGCTACTGCTGTGGTTAAACCTCTGTAGGTAAAGTATCAAAGAATAAATTCAATTATTTAATAAAGGAGGTTAGGATATGTTTTGAACGCCTCTCATTCTGCGTCGATAGAAATTTCATTTAAATCATAACATGACGATGAGACTGGAAGAATTAAAATATGAATATCAAAATATTCAAATGTTGAATCACAACATAAAGTTGATTGAACACTTGAATACTTAATAAATATTTGTGAAATTTGCAGGAGAATTTGATGAAAAATTTGAAGTGAAAGAGTTTGTCATTTTGTCCAAGATTGAGATGAACACGAAGTTATTAATGAACAATCAGTTAATGATTACATGAATTTGGTTTTCAAGTCTCTGAGCGCCGCTGACCACCACTGATCTTTTATGAAACTGGATGATTGAAGATGTTTTGTAATAAAAATGATATTGTGATAATTATATCATATATAACTGATGTAGTCGCGTGTATTTGTAAATATTGTAGATAAAGACAGAATATTCGTATATTACTTGATATTGAAACTAATCTTTAAAACATTTGAGAATTGTTTAGAATTAAAGACAATAATAATGAACATTTATAAAACTAGGATAGAATATGGACGCTGAGTTCAGTCAGAACTAAACAATTGTAAATAAAACAAAATCTCAGATGATTCGTAACAAGTAACATTAGATCAGACAACTACAGTATATTCATTCTGATATTTTCCCTTGTTATTTCAAGACAATTTGCATGGTTTGTTAATAGTTTTAATTCTAATGTTAATGTATCATTGTAGAAGTTCATTAAATCAAATCAATTTTTCATGTATAATGTTATATACATCGCCAAATATTTTCATTTTAAGAAAATGCGTTTTGAAAAGCTACCCATGAGGTAAGGTAAGGTATGGGTTGGGGATCAACGGATGATGAAGAGGGATGTTTGAGGATAAATGGTGTTGCTTGAGGAATTGCGCTAAGGAATCTCGTTTTATTTCGGGATATTTTTTTCGCTAAACACGCGCAGAAGACAAGAAATAATGAAATTGATAATTCTGATATAAAAGTGAAACACAAGCCATGTTACTTTTATTCTGTGAGAAAATCTCCACATTAAACACGACTCTTCACAGATATTAAAATCTGATGCAGAAAATTCCCCGGCGTAAAACACTCTCACTGTAGACTTGAAAGTTCAACGTATTCACATGTGGACTGGATTATAGCAGACACGGAAATATTTATATTTGAAATTCTTTCATATTTCTTTACGCCTGAATTCTCAGTATTAGTTTTACTTGGAAATTTATAAAACTTCCACGAATGACATATTGAAACTAAAACTTCCGTGTACAAGAAATGCAATATTTTGAAGCTTTTATTTTATAAGTTAGTAAATAAATGACTACCAAAATTACTACTTTGTGTTTATATTTTCTTAATAATGGAAAACTCTTTTTTAATATTGCAATTTCTGTTAAATAATATATATCAGCATAAGTTGAGAATTGTTTTATGTTTTCCCAGGAAATTGAGGTGATTTAAGGTCAAGTTAAGTTTCCTCACATGATAATTTCGCAATATTAAAGTCATCGTCACAGATTGTGTACACAAAGAACGAACAAGACTCGAGAATTGTTGCTGTGAAAATCACTGGTAAGTTTCTTGCAAGATTTGTTCCTAATCTTAGACAACTCTCAGACGCGAGATCGCACGAACTCAGCACCATTGACAGGCAAATTGATGCGTATCATTTGTTTGAGGTTTGGATATTATTCGCTTCCGAGTATCGCGTTTAGAATGCGAGCAGACGCTGAGCTAACAAAGGACTTCTCGAGGAAAGAAATGGACCCAAATTAATGAATTGACGGACGGTTCTGAGTTCGTCTGATCTCGTGAGAATCCAGTCTTAATTAATTAATGTTTAAATGGTGATTTTCATGAAATCTAAGAGATTCTAGCGAGTTAATACTTCGCGCAATGACTACAATAAACAAGGCTTATTTGAATATAATAAATAAGAGATTATCCTGAAGTATTTGATGGACAATCATCGTCTTGAATACAACAATATATTACGTTAAATATAGGCTCGTATTTTGTGTTGAAATACAAAGAAGGCTGTGATTTTGTTTATTGTGTTTAAGATAGACTTTCTAGGTTCGTAGTAATCTAAAATGTGTTTGAACAAAGTGCGCATGCTCAGTTAGGGATGGGCTGACATAATATATTTTCATGATCAATTTAATGAGGTTAGGGAGGTTATGATATATAAACTGTTAATGCTGCACAGTGAATAAAGAATAGTTGAGTAAATTTCTTGAGGCTAAGATGATAAGTTTTTTGCACATATTATTCCAGATATTTGTCAGGAAATCATTTTCAATTCTATGCTAATTTCGTAAAAATATTCTTCGAATTTCTAGCTATTCTCTTGAATGTGAGTTCCGGTTATATCCGACCAAAACAATACAATAATCAAACTTAGATATTGCCTTTATTTATTTTTCATCAAAAGATTCTTTGACTGGTTACCTCACAGGAAGAGATCAGTCTGTGAAGAGGTTTATTGAAAGGACTGATATCTGTTATATTTGTGAAACGCTTCAACGCAAATATTCTGAATGGTCCGCAAGTTGAAACTACCAGCGTTTTTAATTTCAACTCAACAAAGTTTTGTTCAAATCCTCCAGTTGAAAAACGTCGTTTATTCACGTTTTGGACTTGAGAAGGTTTAAAAACATGAAAATATTATTTTGAGATGCTTTTTTTTTCTAATTCAGCAGAACTATGGCAGCGAGATGGGAAGATGATTTGCAAGGTTATGACGTGGATCGTTTTCAAGGAGAAATCAGCGAGGATCTGCTTTGTTCCATTTGTCAGGAAGTTCCAAAGGATCCCAGACTTTGCCAACACAAAGATCATATATTTTGTTTCGCTCATATATCACGACATCTCGTTCAAAACTCTCAAACATGTCCAGTTTGCAGAGATCCTCTGACTCAAGAAACCTTGAGACGACCAACAGGATTTCTGAAGAATTATTGGGAAGGTCTGAAAATCAAGTGTGATCATCATGAACGAGGATGTGCTGACTACGTTCGTCTGGAACATCTTCCAAAACATGTCGAGGAATGTGGATATGCTCCTGTCATGTGTCGTAATGAAGGATGTGATACAGAGGTCAATAGAAGAGATATTGAAACTCACGAGAAAGATCTTTGTCAGTTCAGAATCGCGAAATGTCACGACTGTAAAGATATCAAGGTAATTCAAAAATAAAATGTTCGAATTTATTCAATGACTTGCCCGAGTACTCATATTCATCTCAATAACAATTTTACTTTGACTTAGAAAAATGTCGATGAAACAAAAGTTGGAATGACTACGATAGAAAGAAATCAGGATGAAATGAAGGTAAGACAGGTCTTTCAGTTATTACTTGTTTCAATTTAGAAGCATTGAATTGGTTTTGAGAAAAGAAATCCTACGTGGAAAATGAATTCTTAAACGTATCTTTAATAATCTGACTTAGAATAACGTGGATGAAATTAAGGCGAGTCAGGTTGAGATGAAGAGAAATCAGGATGAAATAAAACAAAATCAGGATGAGATGAAAAGAAATCAGGATGAGATGAAGGTAGGACAAGTCTTTTAGTCATTCATTTCTTCCAAATAAGATGAATTGAGGTCAGTGACGATCCATGGTTAATCTTGTATCCGGGATAATTGATGAACTTCAGAAGTCACTAATACTTTTCTTTCCTGGGACCTGCTTACTCTCCCCAGGAACTCGGCGTAGAAACAATTCTAGTGGTAAGATTGCCGGCGGTAATTTAAACTTTGGTGATATCAATTCATTATCGGCTGATTCCCGTGATTAAAGAAAATTTATTTTTAATTTAGCAAAATATGAACGAGATGAGAGAACAGTTTGAGAGAATAATGATGATGATGAACCAAACATTTCAAAGAAATAATGCAAACAAGAATGGTGCTAGTGCTATGAATCACGCAGGTCCAGTCAACAACCAAGATATTATTATTATCGGTGGTCGGTATGGCCTAGGAGATGACAAGGTATTAAAAACAGTCGAAAAATACAACATAGTAGAAGAAAAGTCAACTCCGCTGCCAGGATTGAATCATCCTCGAACAGCATCAGCATCGTGTGCTTACAACAAAGACGTTCTTATCGTTGGTGGTCACGATGGTAAAGTAGGAACTGACACGATTGAAGTTTTGAAGATGAACCATCATCCTTTGCGATGGACAATGTTTGATGGTAAACTGCCTGTCAAATTATATGCTCATGAAGTCATAGTTTATCAAGGAAAATTATATACAATAGGAGGATATGACGGAAAAGAAAGAAAAACATGGAATGCCATTTATGAGATTGCTCTTACCCCACCTTATACTGCGAAGCTGCTGACGAGAATGCCTGAGGCAATAAGAAGATATCACAGAGCAGAACATGTTAATGGAAAATTATTTATCTTGGGTGGAGTAACAACCATCCTTAGTAAAGATGCTCTTGACAGCGTTGTTGTTTATGATTTCCATAAGAATGAGTTCAAGCCATGTCCATCGTTACCTCAGCCTGTTTTTGCTATGTCCACAGTCACTTGGGGTCATATGATCATCGTCGTTGGCGGCTTCGATAAAAATGGTGTGGTGTTAAATGACGTCATAATGTACGACACAGAGACTGGGCGAAGCGAGAGACTGCCCTCCATGATTCACAAAAGAAGCGACTGCTCTGTCGTGATCATGAATGACGTCATTGTCGTGTTTGGTGGATGGAATAAGGAGCAAGGAATTCTCAACTCAGTGGAATCTTTTACCATTGGTGGAGATGGCTGGAAAGAACTGCCAGGAATGATAGAAAAAAGACGCAATGCTACTGCTGTAGTTAAACCTGTGTAGGTAAAGTATCAAAGAATAAATTCAATTATTTAATAAAGGAGGTTAGGATATGTTTTGAACGCCTTTCATTCTGCGTCGATAGAAATTTTATTTAAATCATAACATGACGATGAGACTGGAAGAATTATAATATGAATATCAAAATATTCAAATGTTGAATCACAACATAAAGTTGATTGAACACTTGAATACTTAATAAATATTTGGGAAATTTGCAGGAGAATTTAATGAAAAATTTGAAGTAAAAGAGTTTGTCATTTTGTCCAAGATTGAGATGAACACGAAGTTATAAATGAACAATCAGTGAATGATTACATGAATTAGGTTTTCAAGTCTCTGAGCGCCGCTGACCACCACTGATCTTTTATGAAACTGGATGATTAAAGATGTTTTGTAATAAAAATGATATTGTGATAATTATATCATATATAACTGATGTAGTCGCGTGTATTTGTAAATATTGTAGATAAAGACAGAATATTCGTATATATTACTTGATATTGAAACTAATCTTTAAAGCATTTGAGAATTGTTTAGAATTAGAGACAATAATAATGAACATTTATAAAACTAGGATAGAATATGGACGCTGAGTTCAGTCAAAACTAAACAATTGTAAATAAAACAAAATCTCAGATGACTCGTAACAAGTAACGTTAGGTCAGACGTCCCCCCAATCCAAAAACTGCTCCACGGTCCCTGCTGTTAATAGATGTCTGGTATATTGGACCTTAACAAGGGTAAATATACCTTATTTTTGTATATTCAACTTGGACCAGGTCGAATATACCATATTCCGGTATATTCGATTTTATCAAGTTCGAATATACCATATTTAGTACAATGGACCTTATACTCGACCATGGTCGAATATATTATTTTCCGGAATATTCTACGTTAACAAGGTAGACAACAATGGGTGGACAAAAACAGAAGCGAACTAAATCATAACCAGTTTATTGTGATTGAACGAAGGTGTTTTGGGGATGAAAGATGAGACTTCATCCAAACTTTTGGTTCTCACAAACCAGAAACCTCAAAAATCTCAATATTTCCCCAAAAATAGACGAAGCATTTAATAATACTTGGAATATCAATTTGATACTTGGAATAACAAAAAAATGCAAATGTCTGAAGATATTTGAAATTCTCACAGCAGGATGGTAAAATGGTATTGTGAAAATGAACCAGTCATCCCCATATAAGGAAACAGATCAAGTCTACCATGAAATCATGCAATGTTTTTAACAAAATAAACATTGCGACGTTGCAAGGAGTTGTCTTCAACATAAAATATTATTGACATCGTTGAGATCAACTTGCACGGTTAAGAAATTAATGGAAATCCTTCTTCTTTGGTATGTTTAATTCATTCTTAATCGTTCAAAGCTGCATGATTTGTCACAGTCAATAGTGGCTTCGAGATATCGCATCGTTTAAATGAGCTTTTACACTTTTCTTTGTCTAATACTGAAGGGTATATCGCTAACCTTATAGACTTAGTAGTCTTGTAATTATCAGAATATAAGGCTAAACTTCAACTTCTAATACTTCTAACTTGTATGTTATAATTTCGGGAATTTCGTTCAAGAGATAAATAGCCAAATTATGGTAAAAACTCGTCGGGTAATTTGTTCCGTCCTTGACCGTGTTGATATTTCAGAAACTCGTCTGATTTATCCGTCTAAATGCGAACTTAAGACGAGTTTCTCGTCCAGACGGGATTCCCGTTCAAATTAACCGTCTGTTTAGACCGAAAGTTAGACGGGAAAAATCAGACGAGAAACCCGTCTGCGACCGAATTCACATCAGACGAAGGAGTTTCCCGTCTTCGATGAGTTTCCCGTCTAAGACGAGTTTCCCATCTCTAATATGAATTCGGCTTATATTTGAAGGTTTTGACATGTAGAAAATCGAGGGGGAATTTATATACTTTGAAGTCCATCGTACAGGATGTAGGTTCGATTTCTGCGAAAGAACCGACAGTTTCTCACTATTTCTCAACTTCTATCTCGGTTAGGTCTTTAAAATATATATTCTGCTCTCTTCTCAATAAAACAGAAACCTCTTTTGTAAATAATTTCAGACTTCATTATAGAAACATCAAAATAACCAAATAATTACATAACAGAAGCAGGAAGTGTAAGAGTTACATTGAATGATTGAATTTCAATATGAACTTGATCACGCTCCAGAACTTGATCACGCTCCAGAACTTGATCACGCTCCAGAACTTGATCACGCTCCAGAACTTGATCACGCTCCAGAACTTGATCACGCTCCAGAACTTGATCACGCTCCAGAACTTGATCACGCTCCAGAACTTGATCACGCTCCAGAAGATCAGAACTTGATCACGCTCCAGAACACGCTCCAGAACTTGATCACGCTCCAGAACTTGATCACGCTCCAGAACTTGATCACGCTCCAGAACTTGATCACGCTCCAGAACTTGATCACGCTCCAGAACTTGATCACGCCCTATCACGCTCCAGAACTTGATCACGCTCCAGAACTTGATCACGCTCCAGAACTTGATCACGCTCCAGAACTTGATCACGCTCCAGAACTTGATCACGCTCCAGAACTTGATCACGCTCCAGAACTTGATCACGCTCCAGAACTTGATCACGCTCCAGAACCTGACCATGTTTTAAAATTGATTTAAAGTTCAAAAGGGTTTTGTTTAAGACCTCCGCAGGTTTCAGAATACGCCGTAGGAATTCATATAAGATGTTTAGGAAGCAATAAGTACTTCGCTACGTCCTAGAATTTCCATGATTCAATTTAGTCTGTTTTACAGTCGAGTTAGACATGGTTTTACTTTGTTCCTTTCCTAAGAGGCACTAAAACATCTTAGATTTTGCCAAAGATCATATTCATGGCTGCGAGATGGGAAGATGATTTCCAAGGTTATGACGTGGGTCGTTTTCAAGGAAAAGTCAACGAAGATCTGCTTTGTTCCATTTGTCAGGAAGTTCCAAAGGATCCCAGACTTTGCCAACACAAAGATCATATATTTTGTTTCGCTCATATATCACGACATCTCGTTCAAAACTCTCAAACATGTCCAGTTTGCAGAGATCCTCTGACTCAAGAAACCTTGAGACGACCAACAGGATTTCTGAAGAATTATTGGGAAGGTCTGAAAATCAAGTGTGATCATCATGAACGAGGATGTCCTGACTACGTTCGTCTGGAACATCTTCCAAAACATGTCGAGGAATGTGGATATGCTCCTGTCATGTGTCGTAATGAAGGATGTGATACAGAGGTTAATAGAAGAGATATTGAAACTCACGAGAAAACGTGTAAAAATATCCAGGTGAGTCAAAATGGAAACTATGGGCGCTTTCCATTAAGCGGCCAAAATGGTCAGACCGGTAATAATTTGAATTGTAATAGAGTATTTCTTAAAAAATGTAGCGGTGAAACTGCATTTTTCGTGCTAGGCGGATGTAAATATCAATATACTTGAATGCATATTTCTTAAAACACTAAAAAATACCAGTAATCTGTCTGTACTGAAACACAACAGGACCGGTCTGGCCGTTTTTACCGTATAAAGGAAAGCGCTTTATGTTTGGATTTAGAGATCAAATTCGCATTTTATAAAAACGTTCTATAAAAAAAGAGCGAGATTAAATTGGGTAATTTCTAAATAATGTAATGGCTAATTCCCGTAGCGCGAAACAGGCCTTGGAGGGAAGATTCCGGGCAGGAAAAAAAGGAAACTTATTTCGTGAAAAAATATTTGAATCCTGGATACACCTCTGATCAATCGTAGTTTGTCGATTTGTAGGCGAATTATGTCTAATGTATGACAACAATTTTACTTTGACTTAGAAAAATGTGGATGGATTAAAAATGAGTCAGAATGAAATGAATGTTCGAATGACTTCATTGGAAAGAAAACTTGATGAAATGGAGAGAAAACAGGATGAAATAAAGGTAAGACTAACCATTCAGTTAATATTTGTTTTAAATTACAATGGTTAAATTGAGATCAGTGACATGGCCACGCATGGTTAATCTTGTATCCAGGATAATTGATGAACTTCAGAAGTCGCTAATACTTTTCTTACCTGGGACCTACTTATTCTCCCCAGGACCTCAGCGTAGAAACATTTCTAGTGGTAAGATTGCTGGCGGTAATTTATACTTTGGTGATATGAATGCATCATCGGCTGATTCGCGTGATTAAAGAAATCTTATTTTTGATGTAGCAAAGCATGAATGAGATGAGAGAACAGTTTGAGAGAATAATGACGATGATGAACCAAACATTTCAAGGAAATAATAAAAAAAAGAATGGTGCTAGCGCTACGAATCACACAGGTCCAGTCAACAATCAAGATGTTATTATCATTGGTGGTTGGTATGGCCTAGGAAGTGACAAGGTATTAAATACAGTCGAGAAATACAACATAGTAGAAGAAAAGTCAACTCCGCTGCCAGGATTGAATCATCCTCAAGTAGCATCAGCATCGTGTGTTTACAACAATGACGTTCTTGTTGTTGGTGGTAACGATGGTAAAGAAGGAACTGACACGATCGAAATTTTGAAGATGAACCAACATCCTTTGCGGTGGACAATGTTTGATGGTAAACTGCCTGTCAAATTATTTGCTCATGACGTCATGGTTTATCAAGGAAAATTATATATAATAGGAGGATATGACGGAAATCAAAGAAAAACATCGAATTCCATTTATGAGATTGCTCTTACCCCACCTTATACTGGCAAGCTGCTGACGAGAATGCCTGAGGCAAGAAGAAATCACAGAGCAGAACTTGTTAATGGAAAGCTATTTATCTTGGGTGGAACAATAACCAACCTAAGTAAAGATGCTCTTGACAGCGTTGTTGTTTATGATTTCATTAAGAATGAGTTCAAGCCATGTCCATCGTTACCTCAGCGTGTTTGTGATATGTCCACCGTCACTTGGGGTCATATGATCATCGTCGTTGGTGGTTTGGATACGAATCACCGGACAATAAATGACGTCATAATGTACGACACAGAGACTGGGCGAAGCAAGAGACTGCCCTCCATGATTTACAAAAGGAGCGGCAGCTCTGCTGTAATCATGAATGACGTTATTGTCGTGTTTGGTGGATGGAATAAGGAGCAGGGATATCTCAACTCAGTGGAATCTTTCACCATTGGTGGAGATGGCTGGAAAGAACTGCCAGGAATGATAGAAAAAAGACGCCATGCTACTGCTGTAGTTACACCTCTGTAGGTAAAGTATCAAAAATTTAATTCAATTATTTAATAAAGGAGGTTAGGATATGTTTTGAACGCTTTCATTCTGCGTCGATAGAAATTTCATTTAAATCATAACATGACGATGAGACTGGAAGAATTATAATATGAATATCAAAATATTCAAATGTTGAATCACAACATAAAGTTGATTGAACACTTGAATACTTAATAAATATTTGTGAAATTTGCAGGAGAACTTGATGAAAAATTTGAAGTAAAAGAATTTGTCATTTTGTCCAAGATTGAGATGAACACGAAGTTATAAATGAACAATCAGTGAATGATTACATGAATTAGCTTTTCAAGTCTCTCAGCGCCGCTGACCACCACTGATCTTTTATGAAACTGGATGATTAAAAATGGTTTGTAATAAAAATGATATTGTGATAATTATATCATATATAACTGATGTAGTCGCGTGTATTTGTAAATATTGTAGATAAAGACAGAATATTCGTATATATTACTTGATATTGAAACTAATCATTAAAACATTTGAGAATTGTTTAGAATTAGAGACAATAATAATGAACATTTATAAAATTAGGATAGAATAGGGACGCTGAAATCAGTCGGAACTAAACAATTGTAAATAAAACAAAATCTCAGATGATTCGTAACAAGTAACGTTAGGTCAGACCGTCCCCCAAAGGCTGACATCTTTGGCGCTCGCTAGCCCCCCCCCCCCCAATCCAAAAACTGCTTCGCGGTCCCTGCTGTTACCAGATGTCTTGTATATTGGACCTTAACAAGGGTAAATATACCTTATTTTTGTATATTCAACTTGGACCAGGTCGAATATACCAGATTGAACGAAGATGTTTTGTGGATGAAAGATGCGACTTCATCCAAACTTTTGATTCTCACGAACCAAAGACCTCAATATTTATCCAAAAATAAATGAAGCATTTAATAATACTTGGAATATCAATTTGATACTTGGAATAACAAAAAAATACAAATGTCTGAAGATATTTGAAATTCTCACAGCAGGATGGTAAAATGGTATTGTGAAAACGAAGCAGTTATACCCATATAAGGAAGCAGATCAAGTCTACCATGAAATCATGCAATGTTTTTAACAAAATAAACATTGCGACGTTGCAAGGAGTTGTCTTCAACATAAAATATTATTGACATCGTTGAGATCAACTTGCAGAGTTAAGAAATTGGTGGAAATCCTTCATCTTTCGTAAGTTTAATCCAATTCATTTTTAATCATTCAAAGCTGCATGATTTGTCACAGTCAATAGTGGCTTCGAGATATCGTATCGTTTAAATGAGCTTTTACACTTTTCTTTGTCTAAACACTGAAGGGTATATCGCTAACCTTAGACTTAGTAGTCTTGTAATTATCAGAATAAGGCTCAACTTCAACTTCTAATAATTCTAACTTGTATGTTATAATTTCGGGAATTTCGTTTAAGAGATAAATAGCCGAATTATGGTAAAAACTCGTCGGGTAATTTGTTCCGTCCTTGACCGTGTTGATATTTCAGAAACTCGTCTGATTTATCCGTCTAAATGCGAATTTAAGACGAGTTTCTCGTCCAGACGGGGTTCCCGTCCAACTTAACCGTCTGTTTAGACGGGAAAAATCAGACGAGTTTCCCGTCTTCGATGAGTTTACATATAGAAAATCGAGGGGGAATTTATGTACTTTGAAGTCCATCGTACAGGACGTAGGTTCGATTTCTGCGAAAGAACCGACAGTTTCTTAATATTTCTCAACTGCTACCTCGGTTAGGTCTTAAAAATATAAATTCTGCTCTTTTCTCAATAACACAGAAACCTATTTTGTAAATAATTTCAGACTTTATTATAGAAACATCAAAATAACCAAACAATTACATAACAGAAGCAGGAAGTGTAAGAGTTAAATTCCTATACCTGACTGGTTTTTACGAATATTTCACAGACATTTGCTTTCATTAACCATCATGCGAAAGGGTGGGAAATTGATCGAGTGTCTCTGCATGGTAAATTTTGTCTTTAGTTACATAATTCTGTCTTTAGCGACATATTACTTGTAAGGTAAATCATTATCAACTATTGCAGGATTGAATTTCAATTTGAACTTGATCACGCTCCAGAACTTGATCACGCTCCAGAACTTGATCACGCTCCAGAACTTGATCACGCTCCAGAACTTGATCACGCTCCAGAACTTGATCACGCTCCAGAACTTGATCACGCTGCAGAACTTGATCACGCTCCAGAACTTGATCACGCTCCAGAACTTGATCACGCTCCAGAACTTGATCACGCTCCAGAACTTGATCACGCTCCAGAACTTGATCACGCTCCAGAACTTGATCACGCTCCAGAACTTGATCACGCTCCAGAACTTGATCACGCTCCAGAACTTGATCACGCTCCAGAACTTGATCACGCTACAGAACTTGATCACGCTCCAGAACTTGATCACGCTCCAGAACTTGATCACGCTCCAGAACCTGACAACGTTTTGATCAAGACCTAAAACTGATTCAAATTTCAAAAAGGTTTTCATTAAGACCTCCGTAGGTTTCAGAATATGCCGTAGAACTTGATATAAGATGTTCAGGAAACAATAAGTACTTCGCTACATTCTAAAATTTCCATGACTCAATATAGTCTGTTTTAAAGTCGAGTTAGAGATGGTTTTACTTTGTTCTTTTCCCAAAAGGCCCTAAAACATCCCAGATTTTGCCAAAGATCATATTCATGGCTACGAGATGGGAAGATGATTTGCAAGGTTATGACGTGGGTCGTTTTCAAGGAGAAGTCAACGAAGATGTGCTTTGTTCCATTTGTCAGGAAGTTCCAAAGGATCCCAGACTTTGCCAACACAAAGATCATATATTTTGTTTCGCTCATATATCACGACATCTCGTTCAAAACTCTCAAACATGTCCAGTTTGCAGAGATCCTCTGACTGAAGAAACCTTGAGACGACCAACAGGATTTCTGAAGAATTATTGGGAAGGTCTGAAAATCAAGTGTGATCATCATGAACGAGGATGTCCTGACTACGTTCGTCTGGAACATCTTCCAAAACATGTCGAGAAATGTGGATATGCTCCTGTCATGTGTCGTAATGAAGGATGTGATACAGAGGTCAATAGAAGAGATATTGAAACTCACGAGAAAACGTGTAAAAATATCCAGGTGAGTCGAAATGGAAATTATGGGCGCTTTCCATTAAGCGGCCAAAATGGTCAGACCGGTAATAATTTGAATTGTAATAGAGTATTTCTTAAAAAATGTAGCGGTGAAACTGCATTTTTCGTCCGGGCAGAAAACAGGAAGCTTATTTCGTGAAAAAATATTTGAATCCTGGATACACCTCTGATCAATCGTAGTTTGTCGAATTGTAGGCGAATTATGTCTAATGTATGACAACAATTTCACTTTTACTTAGAAAAATTTGCATGGATTAAAAATGAGTCAGAATGAAATGAATGCTCGAATGACTTCATTGGAAAGAAAACAGGATGAAATGGAGAGAAAACAGGATGAAATAAAGGTAAGACTAACCATTCAGTTATTATTTGTTTTAAATTAGAATGGATTAAATTGAGATCAGTGACATGACCACGTATGGTTAATCTTGTATCCGGGATAATTGATGAACTTTAGAAGTCGCTAATACTTTTCTTACCTGGGACCTACATACTCTCCCCAGGACCTCAGCGTAGAAACATTTCTAGCGGTGAGATTGCTGGCGGAAATTTAAACTTTGGTGATATGAATGCATTATCCGCTGATTGGCGTGATTAAAGAAATCTTATTTTTAATTTAGCAAAGTATGAACGAGATGAGAGAACAGTTTGAGAAAATAATGATGATGATGATGAAGCAAACATTTCAAGGAAATAATAAAAAAAAGAATGGTGCCAGCGCTATGAATCAGAAAGGTCCAGTCATCAATCAATATGTTATTATTATTGGTGGTGATTATGGCCCAAGTAGGTCCGAGGTATTAAATACAGTCGAGAAATACAGCATAGTAGAAGGAAAGTCAACTCCGCTGCCAGGATTGAATCATCCTCGAGTAGGATCAGCATTGTGTGTTTACAACAATGACGTTCTTGTCGTTGGTGGTCACGATGGTGAAACAGCAACTGACAAGATCGAAGTTTCGAAGATGAATCAACATCCTTTGCGATGGACAATGTTTGATGGTAAACTGCCTGTCAAATTATCTGGTCATGACGTCACAGTTTATCAAGGAAAATTATATATAATAGGAGGATATGACGAAAATGAAAGAAAAACATCTAATGCCATTTATGAGATTGCTCTTACCCCACCTTATAGTGCCAAGATGCTGACGAGAATGCCTGAGGCAAGAAAATATCACAGAGCAGAACTTGTTAATGGAAAACTATTTATCCTGGGCGGAACAACAACCGGCTTTCCTAAGAATGCTCTTGACAGCGTTGTTGTTTATGATTTGATTAAGAATGAGTTCAAGCCATGTCCATCGTTACCTCAGTCTGTTTGTTTTATGTCCACAGTCACTTGGGGTCATACTATTATCGTCTTTGGCGGTGCGGATAAGAATACAAGCATAATGACGTCATCATGTACGACACTGAGACTGGGCGAAGCGAGAGACTTCCCTCCATGATTTACAAAAGAGGCGGCAGCTCTGCTGTGATCATGAATGACGTCATTGTCACGTTTGGTGGATGGAATGAAGAGCAGGGATATCTCAACTCAGTGGAATCTTTCACCATTGGTGGAGATGGCTGGAATGAACTGCCAGAAATGATAGAGAAAAGACGCAATGCTACTGCTGTAGTTAAACCTCTGTAGGTAAAGTATCAAAGAATTAATTCAATTATTTAATAAAGGAGGTTAGGATATGTTTTGAACGCTTTCATTCTGCGTCGATAGAAATTTCATTTAAATCATAACATGACGATGAGACTGGAAGAATTATAATATGAATATCAAAATATTCAAATGTTGAATCACAACATAAAGTTGATTGAACACTTGAATACTTAATAAATATTTGTGAAATTTGCAGGAGAATTTGATGAAAAATTTGAAGTGAAAGAGTTTGTCATTTGTCCAAGATTGAGATGAACACGAATTAAATGAACAATCAGTGAATGATTACATGAATTAGGCTTTCAAGTCTCTGAGCGCCGCTGACCACCACTGATTTTTATGAAACTGGATATTGAAGATATTTTGTAATAAAAATGATTATTGTGGTTTATCATATATAACTGATGTAGTCGCGTGTATTTGTAAATATTGTAGATAAAGACAGAATATTCGTATATATTACTTGATATTGAAACTAATCTTTAAAACATTTGAGAATTGTTTAGAATTAAAGACAATAATAAGGAACATTTATAAAACTAGGATAGAATATGGAAACTGAGTTCAGTCAGAACTAAACAATTGTAAATAAAACAAAATCTCAGATGATTCGTAACAAATAACATTAGATCAGACAACTACAGTATATTCATTCTGATATTTTCCCTTTTCATTCCAAGACAATTTGCATGGTTTGTTAATAGTTTTACTTCTAATGTTAATGTATCATTGTAGAAATTCATTAAATCAAATCAATTTTTCATGTATAATGTTATATACATCGCCAAATATTTCCATTCTAAGAAAATGCAATTTCAAAAGTTACCCATGAGGTAAAGTAAGGTAAGGTTGGGGATCAACGGATGATGAAGAGGAATGTTTGGGGATAAATGGTATTGCCTGAGGAGTTGCGTTAAGGAATCTCTTTTTATTTCGGGATATTTTTTTCGCTAAACACGCGCAGAAGACAAGAAATAATGAAATTGATAATTCTGATATAAAAGTGAAACACAAGCCATGTTTACTTTTTTTCTGTGAGAAAATCTCCACATTAAACACGACTCTTCACAGATATTAAAATCTGATGTAGAAAATTCCCCGGCGCCGGTAAAACACTCTCACTGTAGACTTGAAAGTTCAACGTATTTACATGTGGACTGGATTATAGCAGACACGGAAATATTTATATTTGAAATTCTTTCATATTTCTTTACGTCTGAATTCTCAGTATTAGTTTTACTTGGAAATTTATAAAACTTCCACGAATGACATATTGAAACTAAAACTTCCGTGTGCAAGAAATGCAATATTTTGAAGCTTTTATTTTATAAGTTAGCAAATAAATGACCAGTAAAACGACTACATTGAGTTTATATGTTCTTAATAATGGAAAACTCTTTTTTAACATTGCAATTTCTGTTAAATATATCAGGTTAAGTTGAGAATTGTTTTATGTTTTCCCAGGTGTAGTATATGAATTATAATAAGTGTATGCATGATCACATATGGTAATTATTAGATCTGTATTTAAGTAGGGGTGTGGATAATGTGAATAGATTCATTCGACAAGTAAGCAATACGAGTGTGCTTGGTTTATCACTATAACGTTAGACGGTCACTACAGATGGCGACGAGGATCAACTGAGTATGAACTGAAAGTTTAAATAATATTCTGAATATGTCTAAAGGAGCGAAATCGGGAACTTCTAGAGGTACTGACGATATCAGCAATACGACAACAACAGTGATTGTGAATCGACAACTAAATGTGAAGCCATTTATAATTTCAAGCGACGTGAACGAAACAGCGGTTCGTTGGGCGAAGTGGAAAAAGGATATCGAGCGGCAATTTCGATTCTTCGGTTTAGCAGACCCAAGTATGAAGAGAGATGGCTTGATTATCTACGGCGGCCAATGCATTGCAGACTTAGAAGACTCGCTACCCGATTTAACACCTATTGAAGACGAAGATACTTATACCCAGCTAATTCGAAAGCTAGACAAACATTTTCTACCAAGAAAGAATAAGGACTATGCTAGATTTCAATTTGGAAATCTTTCGCAACAAACAGACGAAAATATGGCTCAATACTACACAAGAATTCGTGAGACGGCGAAAAAATGTGAATTCGCTAACGAGGATGAAGCGGTGCGTGACCATCTCATAAAAACAATGACGAACAACAGACTTCGGGCTAAAACAATTCGCAATAATTGGACTTTGACACAAATTCTAGACGAAGCAGCGATTGACGAAGAATCAACATCTCAAGCAATGAAATCCAGAAAAAATTGAAATCAGAAACAGAGTATAAAAGAGTCAATCAGATAATAAAAAAGGAGACGAGACAGAGTTTTGAAATATGCCAGCGATGTGGTTCGAAGCACGAAAGACGACAATGTAAGGCGTACGGAGCAGAATGTTACAAGTGTGGGAAACGGAACCATTTCGCGCGAATGTGTAAAAGCATCCAAAGCAAAAGACAGGAAGAAAACCAGGAGACGCGGGGACGTGGTGAGAAGCAAGATGTAAAGAACGGGAGAAAATATAACCAAGAAACAAGAAGGAATCGAAGTAAAAGCAAGGGTAGATTTAGTCGAAAGCGTATTCGCCACGTGGAAGTAAATAAAGACGATGAAGAAACTAGCAACAGCGATGATGACAGTACGGACGAAGATATCGAAAGAATTGTAAAGCATTTAAATATCCATCGTACAGCTAAAGAACGGGGCGAGAAGAACGAATGTGCCATTATAATAAATGGAATGAAGATGATCGTTGAACCAGACACTGGTGCTGATGCAAATGTTATGGATGAATACCAATTCAAATCACTTCTACAACAAACACCAGAAGAAACAGAATTACGAAAGACAAAAATGAAGCTAAAAACATTAACAGAAGAATTACCAGTGATGGGTGAATGCAGCGTGACGATGGAAAATGAAACTCGGAAAGCGGAAGCTACGATTGCGGTTATTAAAGGGAAGATAGATTCATATCCGCTATTGGGAAGGAAAACCTTAGAAGATCTTGGTATGGTAAATTTGATGCGACGGGCAGATTAAAAGAGCCAAATCGTGACCTGAAATCCATCAACCGGATCAACCATGAAACAAAGAATTAGTCGAGATAATTGGTCAGCAGAAGAACGGTTTAAAGGAATTGGACAGGTGAAACGTGACGGTGAAGTCGTAGTAATAAATCTGCCGATGAAAGAAAATGTAGAACCGGTAGCACAGAAACCACGACGAGTACCCTATCATCTGGTGGAACCACTACGAAAAAGAATTGACGAGTTCGTAGAGTATGGAATTATGGAGAAAGTACCAGAATGCGAATCAATTAGTTGGTGTTCACCTCTTGTGGTACAACCTAAGCCCAACAATCCGAGCGATATCAGAGTCAGCCTGGACCTCCGTGTACTTAATAAGTCGATGGAGCGTACCCCAAGTTCAGGCTCCTATCACAGAAGATTTCATTACCACCTTCAAGGACTGTACAATATTTAGCAAGCTAGATATGAATCATGGTTATCATCAGTTTACCCTCGATGAGCAATCCAGAAAGCTGATGACATTCTCGACACCGTGGGGTAACTATCGATACCAACGATTGGCGTTCGGAGGTATTAATAGCCAAGATCTGTTCGATGCAGAGATGAGCAAAATTATTTCTGGAATACCAAGAGTGCTAATAACAGAGATGACATCATGGTGGGCGGAATCGATTGGGAAGACCATAACAAGAATCTAGCAACTTTACTTCAGAGACTGGAGTTACATAACATCACCTTACGAAAGGAGAAATGCGAATTTGGAAGATCGGAGATCGAGTTTCATGGCCATTTATTTACGAAGGATGGACTGAAACCAAGCCCAAATAAAGTGGAAGCGGTGCAAGAGTGTAGTCCACCTAAATCAAAAGAAGAAGTAGTATCGTTTGTACAAATGTTGGCTTATTTGTCTCGGTACATAAGTAACTTTTCCCGAAGATGCGAGCCACTGAGAAGGATCACTAAAGATAACCAAAAGTTTGTTTGGACGCAAGAGCAACAAGAAGCCTTTGAAGATTTAAAGAAAGCTATTATTACGGCTCCAGTATTGATTCCATTTCGACCAGAACGAGACACTCGTGTGATATGCGATGGAAGTCCGATAGGATTGGGAGGAGGTCTCTTTCAGAAAACAGAGAAGGGGTATCAACCAGTTCATTATGTAAGTCGAACACTTACAGACGTAGAGAAGAGATACTCGCAGATTGAACGTGAAGCTTTAGCAGCAGAATTTACCACCAGCAGACTACGTATGTATTTACTCGGAGCGAAGCACTTCGAACTAGTAACTGACCACAAACCACTCCTTCCAATGTTTAACAAACCTAAAGCCAAATTACCACCACGGATAGAAAGAATGATTATGAAGATGCAGAATCTTGATTTCACAGCAGTCTATGCACCTGGAAAACGAACATGACAGACTATCTTTCGAGACATCCACTACCAGAAACAGTTGAGACGAGTCATGAGAACCATGTGAAAGCAGTCATCGAAATTCACCATGCCATTATGTTAGAAACAATTAGGACGGCAACAAAGGAAGATTCAGTTCTTCAAAAAGTGAAAGAAGCGTTAATTAGTGGAAGATGGAACAAGATTTCACCAGAGTTAGCACCTTACTACGAGCTAAGAGCAGAGATATACGTGGCAGAAGGAGTAATACTGAGAAACGATCGAATAATTCCACCTGAAAGCTTACGAGAAAAAATTATTCGTACGGCACACAGTCAGGGACACTTGGGAATCACAAAAACAAAGGCGATGATCAGGAAGAAATATTGGTTTCCGGCGATGAATCAGCGTATCGAAAACACCGTTCGGGACTGTTTTAGCTGCCAGATCTCTACAAATACACACCACACGGAACCGGCAAAGATGACGGAACTGCCAGAAAGACCGTGGGATACAGTTGAGATGGATTTTTGCGGTCCGTTCCAAATGGTGAATATGCGTTAGTTGTTACGGATCAGTACTCAAGATATCCGGAAGTGGAGTTCGTAAGATCAACCTCGCATATATCGGTTCAGAAGAAACTGAAGAAGATATTTTCAACGTATGGAATACCAAAGAGAGTTCAAACTGATAATGGACCTCCATTCAATTCAAATGATTTTCAACGATTTGCTGAGGTGACGGGGTTTCGGCATAAGAAGATTACACCCAGACATCCTAAAGCTCAAGGACAAGTTGAAGGGTTTAATAAGCTCGTGAATAAGACAGCAAGTATAGCATCTCAAGAGGGTTTGGATCTACACGAGGCAACCTACGATATGCTTCAAGCGTACAGATCAACGCCACATCCAGCTACTAAAGCTACTCCCTATGAATTATTGATGAACAGACAAGTGCGAACAAAATTGGATCACTTTCCTGTAGAATTATCTCCGAAAGATAAAGAAACACGAGAGTTGGACGCAAGTTACAAGAAGAAAGTGAAGCTGTATCATGATAAACGACATAATTCAAAACGGCACATATTTCAAATTGGATACGCAGTTGTTCTAAAGAGAGAGAAGAAGAGAAAAACGGAGACTATATATGAACCATACATATACATCATTACAGATATCAGGGATATTTTGCAAGAAGAATAACTGATGGTAAAACGGTGTGCAGAGACTCATCCAGATTTAAACGGTTAAATGGAAGAAGCGACAAAGACAAAGAAGAAAAGAAGATGGAAGAATTAAAGAAAAGTGAATCACAAGTACCACCATCATTCAATCTGAGAGACAAGAAGATAATTAACAATGAAGAAAATGAAGATCAAGAATTAATTAACAACGAAGTAAGATATGATGTAGAGGACACTAATCAAGAGGTAAATCCACCGATTAGAAGATCGACACGAAAACGTATTTCAATATTTGAAAAACAATTAAGAGATTATACTCAGTGAACTTATAAGAAACTCATAAGAACGGTTTTAGAAAACTAGAAAATACAATAGAAAAAACTGATTAAAACAATAGATTAGAGTATATGGAAGTAACAATATTATATGGTAGATTATAAAGTTGGTTACATAGGCATAGATATTAATATTTGTAGAATTAGGAATAAGGAATTTATAAATTGGTTAGTAATATTCAAGGAACTGGAAAAAGGAGGATTGTAGTATATGAATTATAATAAGTGTATGCATGATCACATATGGTAATTATTAGATCTGTATTTAAGTAGGGGTGTGGATAATGTGAATAGATTCATTCGACAAGTAAGCAATACGAGTGTGCTTGGTTTATCACTATAACGTTAGACGGTCACTACACCAGGAAATCGAGGTGATTTAAGGTCAAGTTAAGTTTCCTCACATGATAATTTCGCAATATTAAAGTCATCGTCACAGATTGTGTTACACAAAGAACGAACAAGACTCGAGAATTGTTGCTGTGAAAATCACTGGTAAGTTTCTTGCAAGATTTGTTCCTAATCTTAGACAACTCTCAGACGCGAGATCGCACGAACTCAGCGCCATTGACAGGCAAATTGGTGCGTATCATTTGTTTGAGGTTTGGATATTATTCGCTTCCGAGTATCGCGTTCAGAATGCGAGCAGACGCTGAGCTAACAAAGAATTTCTCGAGGAAAGAAATGGACCCAAATTAATGAATTGACGGACGGTTCTGAGTTCGTCTGATCTCGTGAGAATCCAGTCTTAATAAATGAATGTTTAAATGGTGATTTTCATGAAATCTAAGAGATTCTAGCGAGTTAATACTTCGCGGAAGGACTACAATAAACAAGGCTTATTTGAATATAATAATAAATAAGAGATTATCCTGAAGTATTTGATGGACAATCATCGTCTTGAATACAACAATATATTACGTTAAATATAGGCTCGTAATTTGTGTTGAAATACAAAGAAGAGTGTGATTTTGTTTATTGCGTTTAAGATAGGCTTTCTAGGTTCGTAGTAATCTAAAATGTGTTTGAACAAAGTGCGCATGCTCAGTTAGGGATGGGCTGACATAATATATTTTCATAATCAACTTAAGGAGGTTCTGATATATAAACTGTTAATGCTGCACAGTGAATAAAGAATAGTTGAGTAGATTTCTTGACGCTTAGATGATAAGTTTTTTGCACATATTATTCCAGATATTTGTCAGGAAATCATTTTCAATTCTATGCTAATTTCGTAAAAATATGCTTTGAATTTCTAGCTATTCTCTTGAATGTGAGTTCAGGTTACATCCGACCAAAACAATACAATAATAAAACGTAGATATTGCCTTTATTTATTTTTCATCAAAAGATTCTTTGACTGGTTACCTCACAGGAAGAGATCAGTCTGTGAAGAGGTTTATTGAAAGGACTGAATTCTGTTATATTTGTGAAACGCTTCAACGCAAATATTCTCAATTGTCCGCGAGTTGAAACTACCAGCGTTTTTAATTTCAACTGAACAAAGTTTTGTTCAAATCCTCCAGTTGAAAAACGTCGTTTATTCACGTTTTGGACTTGAGAAGGTTTAAAAACATGAAAATATTATTTTGAGATGCTTTTTTTTTCTAATTCAGCAGAACTATGGCAGCGAGATGGGAAGATGATTTGCAAGGTTATGACGTGGGTCGTTTTCAAGGAGAAGTCAACGAAGATCTGCTTTGTTCCATTTGTCAGGAAGTTCCAAAGGATCCCAGACTTTGCCAACACAAAGATCATATATTTTGTTTCGCTCATATATCACGACATCTCGTTCAAAACTCTCAAACATGTCCAGTTTGCAGAGATCCTCTGACTCAAGAAACCTTGAGACGACCAACAGGATTTCTGAAGAATTATTGGGAAGGTCTGAAAATCAAGTGTGATCATCATGAACGAGGATGTCCTGACTACGTTCGTCTTGAACATCTTCCAAAACATGTCGAGGAATGTGGATATGCTCCTGTCATGTGTCGTAATGAAGGATGTGATACAGAGGTCAATAGAAGAGATATTGAAACTCACGAGAAAGATCTTTGTCATTTCAGAATCGCCAAATGTCACGACTGTAAAGATATCAAGGTAAGTCAAAATTAAATATTTGGATTTATTCAATGTCTTTTACACTCAAATTTTTTCGAGTTGCACACAGTTCATGTGAATAACAATTCTATTTTGAATCAGGAAAATGTGGATCAAACAAATGTTAGAATGGCTGCGATAGAAAGAAATCAGGATGAAATGAAAGTAAGACAAGTCTTTCAGTTATTATTTGTTTTAATTTAGGAGCAATTTAGGAAAAATTAAATCGCACTTGAAATATGAAATCTAAAACGTATCATTAATTATCTGACGTGGATGAAATTAAGGCAAATCAGGATGAAATGAATGTTCAAATAACTGCGATTGAATGTAAACAGGATGAGATGAAGAGAAATCAGGATGAGATGAAAAGAAATCAGGATGAGATGAAGAGAAATCAGGATGAGATGAAGAGAAATCAGGATGAGATGAAGAGAAATCAGGATGAGATGAAGGTAGGACAAGTCTTTCAGTTATCATTTGTTTTAATTTAATTATATTCAATGAAAATTAGGTTTTAATTTGAGTTGAATTAGTTTTGAAAAATTAAATCGTATCTTGAAAAATGAAATCTGAAACGTATCATTAATAATCTGACTTAGAAAAACGTGGATGAAATTAAGGCAAGTCAGGTTCAAATGAATGTTCAAATGATTGCGATTGGAAGTAAAGAGGATGAGATGAAGAGAAATCAGGATGAGATGAAGGTAGGACAAGTCTTTTAGTCATTCATATCTTTGAAATAAAATGAATTCAGTTCAGTGACGTTCCACGAATTTTGAGATCAGTGACATGACCACGCATGGTTAATCTTGTATCCGGGATAATTGATGAACTTCAGAAGCCGCTAATACTTTTCTTACCTGGGAACTGCTTACTCTCCCCAGGACCTAAGACTTGACTCGGCGTAGAAACATTTCTAGTGGTAAGATTGCTGGCGGTAATTTAAACTTTGGTGATATCAATGCATCATCGGCTGATTCGCGTGATTAAAGAAAATTTATTTTTAATTTAGCAAAGCATGAACGAGATGAAAGAACAGTTTGAGAGAATAATGATGATGATGAACCAAATATTTCAAGAAAATAATACAAACAAGAATGGTGCTAGCGCTATGAACCACACAGGTCCAGTCAACAATCAAGATATTATTATTATCGGTGGCCTAAGAAGTGACGAGGTATTAAATACAGTCGAGAAATACAACATAGTAGAAGGAAAGTCAACTCTGCTGCCACGATTGAATCATTCTCAAACAGCATTCGGATCGTGTGTTTACAACAATGACGTTCTTGTCGTTGGTGGTTACAATGGTAAAGAAAGAACTGACAGGATAGAAGTTTTGAAGATGAACCAACATCCTTTGCGATGGACAATATTTGATGGTAAACTGCCTGTCAAATTATCTGGTCATGACGTCATAGTTTATCAAGGAAAATTATATATAATAGGAGGATATGACGGAAAAATATCGAATGCCATTTATGAGATTGCTCTTACCCCACCTCATACTGCCAAACTACTGACGAGAATGCCTGAGCCAAGAACATTTCACAAAGCAGAACTTGTTAATGGAAAACTATTTATCTTGGGTGGAACAACAACCATCCTTAGTAAAGATGCTCTTGGCAGCGTTGTTGTTTATGATTTGATTAAGAATAAGTTCAAGCCATGTCCATCGTTACCTCAGCCTGTTTGTTATATGTCCACAGTCACTTGGGGTCATATGATCATCGTCGTTGGTGGTTTGGATAAGAATAGCCAGACATTAAATGACGTCATAATGTACGACACAGAGACTGGGCGAAGTGAGAGACTGCCCTCCATGATTCACAAAAGGAGCGACAGCTCTGCCGTGATGATAAATGACGTAATTGTCGTGTTTGGTGGATGCAATAAGGAGCAGGGAAATCTCAACTCAGTGGAATCTTTCACCATTGGTGGAGATGGTTGGAATGAACTGCCAGGAATGATAGAAAAAAGGGTATATGCTACTGCTGTAGTTAAACCTCTGTAGGTAAAGTATCAAAGAATAAATTCAATTATTTAATAAAGGAGGTTAGGATATGTTTTGAACGCTTTCATTCTGCGTCGATAGAAATTTCATTTAAATCATAACATGACGATGAGACTGGAAGAATTATAATATGAATATCAAATTATTCAAATGTTGAATCACAACATAAAGTTGATTGAACACTTGAATACTTAATAAATATTTGTGAAATTTGCAGGAGAATTTGATGAAAAATTTGAAGTAAAAGAGTTTGTCATTTTGTCCAAGATTGAGACGAACACGAATTTATAAATGAACAATCAGTGAATGATTACATGAATTAGCTTTTCAAGTCTCTGACCGCCGCTGACCACCACTGATCTTTTATGAAACTGGATGATTGAAGATGTTTTGTAATAAAAATGATATTGTGATAATTATATCATATATAAGTGATGTAGTCGCGTGTATTTGTAAATATTGTAGATAAAGACAGAATATTCGTATGTATTACTTGATATTGAAACTAATCTTTAAAACATTTGAGAATTGTTTAGAATTAAAGACAATAATAATGAACATTTATAAAACTAGGATAGAATATGGACGCTGAGTTCAGTCAGAATTAAACAATTGTAAATAAAACAAAATCTTAGATGATTCGTAACAAGTAACATTAGATCAGACAACTACAGTATATTCATTCTGATATTTTCCTTTCTTATTCCAAAACAATTTGCATGGTTTGTTAATAGTTTTAATTCTAATGTTATTGTATCATTGTAGAAGTTCATTAAATCAAATCAATTTTTCATGTATAATGTTATATACATCGCCAAATATTTCCATTCTAAGAAAATGCGTTTTGAAAAGCTACCCATGAGGTAAGGTAAGGTATGGGTTGGGGATCAACGGATGATGAAGAGGGATGTTTGGGGATAAATGGTATTGCCTGAGGAATTGCGCAAAGCAATTTCGTTTTATTTCGGGATATTTTTTTCGCTAAACACGCGCAGAAGACAAGAAATAATGAAATTGATAATTCTGATATAAAAGTGAAACACAAGCCACGTTCATTTTTATTCTGTGAGAAAATCTCCACATTAAACACGACTCTTCAGAGATATTAAAATCTGATGCAGAAAATTCCCCGGCGTAAAACACTCTCACTGTAGACTTGAAAGTTCAACGTATTCACATGTGGACTGGATTATAGCAGACACGGAAATATTTATATTTGAAATTCTTTCATATTTCTTTACGTCTGAATTCTCAGTATGAGTTTTACTTGGAAATTTATAAAACTTCCACGAATGACATTTTGAAACTAAAACTTCCGTGTACAAGAAATACAATATTTTGAAGCTTTTATTTTATAAGTTACAAAATAAATGACCACAAAATACTACTTTAGTTTATATTTTCTTAATAATGGAAAACTCTTTTTTAACATTGTAATTTCTGTTAAATATATCAGCATAAGTTGAGAATTGTTTTATGTTTTCCCAGGAAATTGAGGTGATTTAAGGTCAAGTTAAGTTTCCTGACATGATAATTTCGCAATATTAAAGTCATCGTCACAGGTTGTGTTAGACAAAGAACGAACAAGACTCGAGAATTGTTGCTGTGAAAATCACTGGTAAGTTTCTTCCAAGATTTGTTCCTAATCTTAGACAACTCTCAGACGCGAGATCGCACGAACTCAGCGCCATTGACAGGCAAATTGGTGCGTATCATTTGTTTGAGGTTTGGATATTATTCGCTTCCGAGTATCGCGTTCAGAATGCGAGCAGAAGCTGAGCTAACAAAGGATTTCTCGAGGAAAGAAATGGACCCAAATTAATGAATTGATGGACGATTCTGAGTTCGTCTTATCTGGTGAGAATCCAGTCTTAATAAACGAATGTTTAAATGGTGATTTTCATGAAATCTAAGAGATTCTAGCGAGTTAATACTTCGCGCAATGACTACAATAAACAAGGCTTATTTGAATATAATAATAAATAAGAGATTTTCCTGAAGTATTTGATGGACAATCATCGTCTTGAATACAACAATATATTACGTTAAATATAGGCTCGTATTTTGTGTTGAAATACAAAGAAAGCTGTGATTTTGTTTATTCCGTTTAAGATAGACTTTCTACGTTCGTAGTAATCTAAAATGTGTTTGAACAAAGTGCGCATGCTCAGTTAGGGATAGGCTGACATAATATATTTTCATAATCAACTTAATGAGGTTAGGGAGGTTATGATATATAAATTGTTAATGCTGCACAGTGAATATAGAATAGTTAAGTAGATTTCTTGACGCTTAGATGACAAGTTTTTTGCACATATTATTCCAGACATTTGTCATAGAAATCATTTTCAATTCTATGCTAATTTCGTAAAAATATGCTTCGAATTTCTAGCTATTCTCTTGAATGTGAGTTCCGGTTATATCCGACCAAAACAATACAACAATCAAACGCATATATTGCCTTTATTTATTTTTCATCAAAAGATTCTTTGACTGGGGACCTCACAGGAAGAGACCAATCTGTGAAGAGGTTTATTGAAACGACTGAATTCTGTTATATTTGTGAAACGCTTCAACGCAAATATTCTGAATTGTCCTCAAGTTGAAACTACCAGCGTTTTAAACTTCAACTGAACAAAGTTTTGTTCAAATCCTCCAGTTGAAAAACGTCGTTTATTCACGTTTTGGACTTGAGAAGGTTTAAAAACATGAAAATATTATTTTAAGATGCCTTTTTATAATCCAGCAGAACTATGGAAGCGAGATGGGAAGATGATTTGCAAGGTTATGACGTGGGTTGTTTTCAAGGAGAAGTCAACGAAGATCTGCTTTGTTCCATTTGTCAGGAAGTTCCAAAGGATCCCAGACTTTGCCAACACAAAGATCATATATTTTGTTTCGCTCATATATCACGACATCTCGTTCAAAACTCTCAAACATGTCCAGTTTGCAGAGATCCTCTGACTCAAGAAACCTTGAGACGACCAACAGGATTTCTGAAGAATTATTGGGAAGGTCTGAAAATCAAGTGTGATCATCATGAACGAGGATGTCCTGACTACGTTCGTCTGGAACATCTTCCAAAACATGTCGAGGAATGTGGATATGCTCCTGTCATGTGTCGTAATGAAGGATGTGAAACAGAGGTCAATAGAAGAGATGTTGAAACTCACGAGAAAGATCTTTGTCAGTTCAGAATCGCCAAATGTCACGACTGTAAAGATATCAAGGTAAGTCAAAATGAAATATGAAATGTTTGGATTTATTCAATGTCTTTTACACTCATATTTTGTCGAGTTGTACACAGTTCATCTCAATAACAATTCTATTTTGAATCAGGAAAATGTGGATCAAACAAATGTTCGAATGACTGCGATAGAAAGAAATCAGGATGAAATGAAGGTAAGACAACTCTTTCAGTTATTATTTGTTTTAATTTAGGAGCAATTTAGCAAAAATTAAATCACACTTGAAATATGAAATCTAAAACGTATCATTAATAATCTGACGTGGATGAAATTAAGGCAAGTCAGGATCAAATGAATGTTCAAATGACTGCGATTGAATGTAAAGAGGATGAGATGAAGAGAAATCAGGATGACATGAAGAGAAATCAGGATGAGATGAAGAGAAATCAGGATGAGATGAAGAGAAACCAAGATGAGATGAAGGTAAGACAAGTCTTTTAGTAATTCATATCTTTGAAATCAAATGAATTGAGGTCAGTGACGGTCCACGAATTTTGAGATCAGTGACATGTCCAGGGATGGTTAATCCTGTATCCGGGATAATTGATGAACTTCAGAAGTCGCTAATACTTTTCTTACCTGGCACATGCTTACTCTCCCCAGGCCCTCGGCGTAGAAACAATTCCAGTGGTAAGATTGTTGGCGGTAATTTAAACTTTGGTGATATCAATGCATCATCGGCTGATTCCCGTGATTAAAGAAAAATTTTTTTTAATTTAGCAAAGTATGAACCAGATGAGAGAACAGTTTGAGAGGATAATGATGATGATGAACCAAACATTTCAAAGAAATAATACAAACAAGAAGGGTGCCAGCGCTATGAATCACACAACTCCAGTCAACAATCAAGATGTTATTATTATTGGTGGTCGGTGTGGCCCAGGAAGTGACGAGCTTTTAAATACAGTGGAGAAATACAACATAGTACAAGGAAAGTCAACTCTGCTGCCACGATTGAATCATCCTCGAATATTATCAGGATCGTGTGTTTACAACAATGACGTTCTTGTCGTTGGTGGTTTCGATGGTAAAGAAGAAACTGACACGTTCGAAGTTTTGAAGATGAACCAACATCCTTTGCGATGGACAATGTTTGATGGTAAACTACCTGTTAAATTATCTGGTCATGACGTAATAGTTTATCAAGGAAAATTATATATAATAGGAGGATATGACGGGAATGAAAGAAAAACATCGAATGCTATTTATGAGATTGCTCTTACCCCACATTATACTGCCAAGCTGCTGACGAGAATGCCTGAGCCAAAAAAGAATCACAGAGCAGAACTTGTTAATGGAAAACTATTTATCTTGGGCGGAACAACAAGCGGGCTTTGTAAAGATGCTCTTGACAGCGTTGTTGTTTATGATTTCATTAAGAATGAGTTCAAGCCATGTCCATCGTTACCTCAGCCTGTTTTTGCTATGTCCACAGTCACTTGGGGTCATATGATCATCGTCGTTGGCGGTTTGAATAAGAATGGCCAGGTATTAAATGACGTCATAATGTACGACACAGAGACTGGGCAAAGCGAGAGTCTTCCCTGCATGATTCACAAAAGGTGCGGCAGCTCTGTCGTGATCATGAATGACGTCATTGTCGTTTTTGGTGGATGGAATAAGGAGCAGGGATATCTCAACTCAGTGGAATCTTTCACCATTGGTGGAGATGGTTGGAAAGAACTACCAGGAATGATAGAAAAAAGATACTATGCTACTGCTGTAGTTAAACCTGTGTAGGTAAAGTATCAAAGAATGAATTCAATTATTTAATAAAGGAGGTTAGGATATGTTTTGAACGCTTTCATTCTGCGTCGATAGGAATTTCATTTAAATCATAACATGACGATGAGACTGGAAGAATTATAATATGAATATCAAAATATTCAAATGTTGAATCACAACATAAAGTTGATTGAACACTTGAATACTTAATAAATATTTGTGAAATTTGCAGGAGAATTTGATGAAAAATTTGAAGTAAAAGAGTTTGTCTTTTTTTCCAAGATTGAGTTGAACACGAAGTTATAAATGAACAATCAGTGAATGATTACATGAATTAGGCTTTCAAGTCTCCGAGCGCCGCTGACCACCACTGATCTTTTATCAAACTGGATGATTGAAGATGTTTTGTAATAAAAATGACATTGTGATAATTATATCATATATAACTGATGTAGTCGCATGTATTTGTAAATATTGTAGATAAAGACAGAATATTCGTATATATCACTTGATATTGAAACAAATCTTTAAAACATTTGAGAATTGTTTAGAATAAAAGACAATAATAATGAACATTTATAAAACTAGGATAGAATATGGACGCTGAGTTCAGTCAGAACTAAACAATTGTAAATAAAACAAAATCTCAGATGATTCGTAACAAGTAACGTTAGATCAGACAACTACAGTATATTCATTCTGATATTTTCCCTTTTTATTCCAAGACAATTTGCATCATTTGTTAATAGTTTTAATTCTAATGTTAATGTATCATTGTAGAAGTTCATTAAATCAAATCAATTTTTCATGTATAATGTTATATACATCGCCAAATATTTCTATTCTAATAAAATGCGTTTTGAAAAGTTACCCATGAGGTAAAGTAAGGTAAGGGTTGGGGATCAACGGATGATGAAGAGGACACCGCGGAAATTGGTATAGACTTAGCCGCAATTCTCGATACTTAGACTTCAAACTTGGTGAGGAAAAAGATTTATAAATATTCAAGAAAATATGTCTTGCACAAAAGATTTGAAGCTTGCTCACGGTAAAAACGAATCGTCTGAATTAATAACCTTGTGTATACTTTAAGCCTCAAAATGGCCATTTCACAGCGGTCAGATGTGTATGATGAGCTGTCAAAAGATTGCAGAATGCGTATTCAGAAGAAAAATTGAACTTTTTTAAGATATTCAAAAGGTTTCTCTTTGATAGGGCGATACAGAAATGCACAATTGTGAACCAGCGATTAGATTTTCGGGTTGAAACGTCTTAAACACCAATTTCTGCGGTGTCGATGAAGAGGAATGTTTGGGGATAAATGGTGTTGCCTGAGGAATTGCGCTAAGGAATCTCGTTTTATTTCGGGATATTTTTTTCGCTAAACACGCGCAGAAGACAAGAAATAATGAAATTGATAATTCTGATATAAAAATGAAACACAAGCCATGTTCACTTTTATTCTGTGAGAAAATCTCCACATTAAACACGACTTTTCACAGATATTAAAATCTGATGCAGAAAATTCCCCGGCGTAAAACACTCTCACTGTAGACTTGAAAGTTCAACGTATTTACATGTGCACTGGATTATAGCAAATTCCGAAATATTTATATTTTGAAGTTCTTTCATATTTCTTTACGCCTGAATTCTCAGTATGAGTTTTACTTGGAAATTTATAAAACTTCCACGAATGACATATTGAAACTAAAACTTCCGTGTACAAGAAATGCAATATTTTGAAGCTTTTATTTTTTTAAGTTAGTAAATAAATGACTACCAAAATTACTACCTTGTGTTTATATGTTCTTAATAATGGAAAACTCTTTTTTAACATTGCAATTTCTGTTAAATATATCAGCATAAGTTGAGAATTGTTTTATGTTTTCCCAGGAAATTGAGGTGATTTAAGGTCAAGTTAAGTTTCCTCACATGATAATTTCGCAATATTAAAGTCATCGTCACAGATTGTGTTACACAAAGAACGAACAAGACTCGAGAATTGTTGCTGTGAAAATCACTGGTAAGTTTCTTTCAAGATTTGTTCCTAATCTTAGACAACTCTCAGACGCGAGATCGCACGAACTCAGCGCCATTGACAGGCAAATTGGTGCGTATCATTTGTTTGAGGTTTTGATATTATTCGCTTCCGAGTATCGCGTTCAGAATGCGAGCAGACGTTGAGCTAACAAAGGATTTCTCGAGGAAAGAAATGGACCCAAATTAATGAATTGATGGACGATTCTGAGTTCGTCTGATCTCGTGAGAATCCAGTCTTAATAAATGAATGTTTAAATGGTGATTTTCATGAAATCTAAGAGATTCTAGCGAGTTAATACTTCGCGCAATGACTACAATAAACAAGGCTTATTTGAATACAATAATAAATAAGAGATTATCCTGAAGTATTTGATGGACAACCATCGTCTTGAATACAACAATATATTACGTTAAATATAGGCTCGTATTTTGTGTTGAAATACAAAGAAGGCTGTGATTTTGTTTATTAACTCGCATTGCGCAATGCGCAAGCGAGTTCTTAAAATGGGAAGCGTTTTTATTAATGTTTTTATGGGCGAAAATTTCGCGACCCGCAAGATGCGATAAGGTGCGCTGACCTGCAAGCCACGAGCTACGCAGGCGTGGTTGCTAAGCTAACGTGCATGCTGCACTGCTGAGTGCATTCGTTCATGACGTTCATCGTTTTCTTGTGGACAAAAGACGATAAAAATTCAAGATATTTTGAAATGTGGCTTCCAAGTGCCATATTTATCTAAACGCTCACCTTACATACAACTGCACACGCCGAGCACAGTAGCCCTACACTAAAAGATGCCGAGCGTTTTCGAAACGGGGTGTTCTGTTGCTCTCATGCTTTTCAATTTCATGTTGAACCAAAGTTGCTTAATATCGCTGTGAATTTTCTGATCAAACTGAATACAATCTCAAATCAATCTCACGAGTTCTCACTAGTACTATCAATTGAAAACAATACAACGACGTTGTCAATGAACTGTGCCATGACGTGCTACGAATATCTGAACAAGACTAACTCCACTGTGCAACAAGACTAACTCCAAAGCGCAATTAAATTTATCCAATGCTCTCCCCATTTTCACGCCCGTTCCGTTCCGTTGCATAGCTGAACAACTATGGCAAGCCCAAACACACACCTGAGTAAGCGTCTTTTTTATCATAGCCCTAGCTCGACTCAAGCAATGCGAGTTTAATGCCTAGCGGGCATATTGTTGTGTTTAAGATAGACTTTCTAGGTTCGTAGTAATCTAAAATGTGTTTGAACAAAATGCGCATGCTCAGTTAGGGATGGGCTGACATAATATATTTTCATAATCAATTTAAGGAGGTTCTGATATATAAACTGTTAATGCTGCACAGTGAATATAGAATAGTTTGAGTAGATTTCTTGACGCTGAATTTTTTGGACATATTATGCCAGACATTTGTCAGGAAATCATTTTCAATTCTATGCTAATTTCGTAAAAATATGCTTGGTGTTTGTAGCTATTCTCTTGAATGTGAGTTCACGTTATATCCGACAAAAACAATACAATAATCAAACATAGATATTGCCTTTATTTATACTTCATCAAAAGATTCTTTGACTGGTTACCTCACAGGAAGAGATCAGTCTGTGAAAAGGTTTATTGAAAGGACTTCAACGCAAATACTCTGAATTGTCCGCGAGTTGAAACTAGCAGAGTTTTTAACTTCAACTGAACAATATTTTGTTCAAATCCTCCAGTTGAAAAACGTCGTTTATCCACGTTTTGGCCTTGTGAAGGTTTAAAAACATGAAAATATTATTTTGAGATGCTTTTTTTTCTAATTCAGCAGAACTATGGCAGCGAGATGGGAAGATGATTTGCAAGGTTATGACGTGGGTCGTTTTCAAGGAGAAGTCAACGAAGATCTGCTTTGTTCCATTTGTCAGGAAGTTCCAAAGGATCCCAGACTTTGCCAACACAAAGATCATATATTTTGTTTCGCTCACATATCACGACATCTCGTTCAAAACTCTCAAACATGTCCAGTTTGCAGAGATCCTCTGACTCAAGAAACCTTGAGACGACCAACAGGATTTCTGAAGAATTATTGGGAAGGTCTGAAAATCAAGTGTGATCATCATGAACGAGGATGTCCTGACTACGTTCGTCTGGAACATCTTTCAAAACATGTCGAGGAATGTGGATATGCTCCTGTCATGTGTCGTAATGAAGGATGTGATACAGAGGTCAATAGAAGAGATGTTGAAACTCACGAGAAAAATTTCTGTCAATTCAGACTGGCTAAATGTCACGACTGTAAAAATATCAAGGTGAGTCAAATTGAAAAATAAAATGTTTGGATTTATTCAATATCTTTTACACTTCGTATTTTGTCGAGTTGTACGCAATTCATCTCAATAACAATTTCACTTTGACTTAGAAAAATGTCGATGAAACGAACGTTCGAATTACTGCGATAGAAAGAAAACTGGAGGAAATGAAAAGAAAACAGGATGAAATGAAGATAAAACAGGATGAAATAAAGGTAAGACTAACCATTCAGTTGATATTTGCTTTAAATTAGAATGGATTGAATTGTTGTTCAAAATTTTAATCGCACATGCTTGACTGAAAACATTAATAATTTGATTTAGATAAATGTGGATGAAATTAAGGCAAGTCAGGCTGAAACGAGTGTTCAAATGACTGCGATTGGAAGTATACAGGATGAGATGAAGAGAAAACAGGATGAAATGAAAACAAATCAGAATGAAATGAAAACAAGTCAGAATGAGATGAAGAGAAATCAGGAAGAAATGGAGGTAAGAGAGGTCTTTTAGTCATTCATTGCTTTGAAATAAAATGAATTATATAACTATAACTTCAGAAGTCTCTAATACTTACATGGGACCTGCTTACTGGCGGTGATTTAATCTTTGGTGATATGAATGCATCATCGGCTGATTCGCGTGATTCAAGAAAATTTATTTTTAATTTAGCAAAGTATGCACGAGATGAGAGAACAATTTGAGAAAATAATGATGATGATGAACCAAACATTTCAAGGAAATAATACAAACAAGAATGGTGCTAGCGCTATGAATCAGACAGGTCCAGTCAACAATCAAGATGTTATTATTATTGGTGGTCGGTATGGCCTAGGAGAAGACAAGGTATTAAATACAGTCGAGAAATACAACATAGTAGAAGGAAAGTCAACTCTGCTGCCACGATTGAATCATCCTCGAACAGCATCAGCATCGTGTGTTTACAACAATGACGTTTTTGTCGTTGGTGGTTTCGATGGTAAAGAAGGAACTGACACGATCGAAGTTTTGAAGATGAACCAACATCCTTTGCGATGGACAATGTTTGACGGTAAACTGCCTGTCAAATTATATGCTCACGACGTCATAGTTTATCAAGGAAAATTATATATAATAGGAGGATGTGACGGAAAAGAAAGAAAAACATCGAACGCCATTTATGAGATTGCTCCCAGCCCACCTTATACTGCCAAGCGGCTGAAGAGAATGCCCGAGCCAAGAACATTTCACAGAGCAGAACTTGTTAATGGAAAACTATTTATCTTGGGCGGAACAACAACCATCGATAATAAAGATGCTCTTGACAGCGTTGTTGTTTATGATTTGACTAAGAATAAGTTCAAGCCATGTCCATCGTTACCTCAGCCTGTTTTCGGCATGTCCACAGTCACTTGGGGTCATATGATCATCGTCGTTGGTGGTGTGGATAAGAATAACCAGGCATTAAATGACGTCATAATGTACGACACAGAGACTGGGCAAAGCGAGAGACTGCCCTCCATGATTTACAAAAGGAAGGGCAGCTCTGTCGCGATCATGAATGACGTCATTGTCGTGTTTGGTGGATGGAATGAGGAGCAGGGATTTCTCAACTCAGTGGAATCTTTCACCATTGGTGGAGATGGCTGGAAAGAACTGCCAGGAATGATAGAAAAAAGACGCAATGCTATTGCTGTAGTTAAACCTCTCTAGGTAAAGTATCAAAGAATTAATTCAGTTATTTAATAAAGGAGGTTAGGATGTGTTTTGAACGCATTTCATTCTGCGTCGATAGAAATTTTATTTAAATCATAACATGACGATGAGACTGGAAGAATTATAATATGAATATCAAAATATTCAAATGTTGAATCACAACATAAAGTTGATTGAACACTTGAATACTTAATAAATATTTGTGACTTTGCAGGAGAAATTGATGAAAAATTTGAAGTAAAAGAGTTTGTCATTTTGTCCAAGATTGAGATGAACACGAAGTTATAAATGAACAATCAGTGAATGATTACATGAATTAGGTTTTCAAGTCTCTGAGCGCCGCTGACCACCACTGATCTTTTATGAAACTGGATGATTGAAGATGTTTTGTAATAAAAATGATATTGTGATAATTATATCATATATAACTGATGTAGTCGCGTGTATTTGTAAATATTGTAGATAAAGACTGAATATTTAACAGTTATTCTGCGAACTCGAGTCGTATATGAGCTGATAGCATATATGAGCTGATTATATACACAAACTTTGTCGCCTTTTCGGTGCATTTTGGCGTGCTATTATCAACTAAAGCTTGGATTTCTATTTCACTCAACTCCCCAAATCTTTCCGCCATTTTTTTTACTTTCTCTACTAGACAGATATGAGCTAATATCTGTCTAGTAGCCAACCAATGAAATTGCAGCATACCTCATATCTGGCGCTTGTGTATTTAATATATTTAATATATAGTAATCGTATATATTACTTGATATTGAAACTAATCTTTAAAACATTTGAGAATTGTTTAGAATTAAAGACAATAATCAACGAATGAACATTTATAAAACTAGGATAGAATATGGACGCTGAGTTCAGTCAGAACTAAACAATTGTAAATAAAACAAAATCTCAGATGATTCGTAACAAGTAACATTAGGTCAGACCGTCCCCCCAAGGCTGACATCTTTGGCGCTCGCTAGCCCCCCCTCCAATCCAAAAACTGCTCCGCGGTCCCTGCTGTTACCAGATGTCTGGTATATTGGACGTTAACAAGTGTAAATATACCTTATTTTTGTATATTCAACTTGGACCAGGTCGAATATACCATATTCCGGTATATTCGACTCTATCAAGTTCGAATATAACATATTTAGTATAATGGACCTTATACTTGACCATGGTCGAATGTATCATTTTCCGAAATATTCTACATTAACAAGGTAGACAACAATGGGTGGACAAAAACAGAAGTGAACTAAATCATAACTAGTTTATTGTGATTGAACGAAGATGTTTTGTGGATGAAAGACGCGACTTCATCCAAACATTTAGTTCTCACAAACCAGAGAATTCAAAAACCTCAATATTTACCCAAAAATAGACGAATACTTGGAATATCAATTTGATACTTGGAATAGCAAAAAAATGCAAATGTCTGAAGATATTTGAAATTCTCACAGCATGATGGTAAAATGGTATTGTGAAAATGAACCAGTTATCCCCATATAAGGAAAGAGCAAGTCCACTATGAAATCATGTAATGTTTTTAACAAAATAAAAATTGCGATTTTCCGGTATACTTGACCATGGTCGAATATACCATTTTCCGGTATCAACAATGGGTTGAAAAAAAACAGAAGTGAACTAAATCATTACTAGTTTATTGTGATTGAACGAAGGTGTTTTGTGGATGAAAGATGAGACTCACAAACCAGAGACCTCAAAAATCTCAATATTTACCCAAAAATAGACGAATACTTGGAAGATAAACTTGATACTTGGAATAACAAAAAAATGCAAATGTCTGAAGATATTTGAAATTCTCAAAGCATGATGGTAAAATGGTATTGTGAAGACGTACCAGTTATCCCCATATAAGGAAACAGTAAGTCTACCATGAAATCATGTGATGTTTTTAACAAAGCATGAAACATTGCAGACGTGATGGCGAAAAAGGAGTTGTCTTCAACATAAGATATTATTGACATCGTTGAGATCAACTTGCAGAGTTAAGAAATTGGTGGATCCCATCTTTCGTAAGTTTAATCTAATTCATTTTTAATCGTTGAAAGCTGCATGATTTGTCACAGTCAATAGTGGCTTCGAGATGTCGCATCGTTTAAATGAGCTTTTAGATTTCTGTTTGTGTAATGCTGAAGTATATATCGCTGTGTGCTAACCTGGATTTTGTGATTATCAGAAAAAAGGCCTCAACTTCAGCTGCTTCCGACTTGCATGTTATAATTTCGGGGAATTCGATCTAGAGATAAAGTATCGTTCTTGCGACAGTGTTCAAACCTATATTCTATATGATGCTGGTGAAGAGCTACGGAGTGACCTGTCAACTTGCAAGACCGAATGTAAGATTGGCCCGATTTATACTAGAGACGGATCATTTTGATTGAGCAAGCGAAGAATAGTTCGTCTTCCACGAATTTGAAAGGGTAGTTCGTCTTGAGCATCATTTGTCTGTTAGTATAAATAGTGGGTGGGGACTACAGAAATTCATCATAAAACAGCTTTTGTGCACTCTTTTGACCACATAAATAATTCCCAAACTGTCTCGTTTGACATATCCGTCTACATAGTGCGTCTAGATAGTTTGTCGTGTGTTTACATGTATACTCAAACGAATGATCTGTCAGATGGATCATTTGTCCAGACGGATCGTTCGTCTCTATTATGGCCTATAAATCGGGCCATTTTCGGCATTTTGCTACAACCCCTACATTAATCTCATGTACATTCGCTCGTAAAAACGATAGTTCCGCAGCTAAGCTAGTTTACCAGAGCAAGCAGAGGAGTTCACCGACATCGCACATAACGTAGGTTCGGTTCCTCTTGAAGAACGGAATCAACTGGTAGTCCCTAAATATCCTCAACTGCTCGTAATTCGCCCTTAAAAGTGCATATATTTATATATTATATAAAATTCTGCTCGAGTTTTAATTAAACGAGCCGACTTCTAATTGAGCTCAGGGGGAGGTTTTCCGCTCTTTTATAGCTAAAGTCAATAAACCTTTTTTGTGATATGGTAAACGATTCAAATATAGCAACACCATCATAACTGCATAATTAAAATTTTAAAAGATTAAAAAGAGGAGAGAATCCGGTATACGCAGCCTTGAAGTGTATTAATAGAAGGCATTGTGCATTGTATGTCTGCATGTTCCATGTTTCCAACTACAAATTTTGTATTTTAAAGCCTGGCCATGACTTTGTTATATTTCTGAAAAGGCATCCAGAGATTCAAGACTTTGGCAAAGATCATATTCATGGCGACAGGATATAATAATACTTTTCAAGGTTATGACGTGAGTCGTTTTCAAGCAGAAGTCAGAGAGGATCTGCTTTGTTCCATTTGTCGTAAAGTTCCAAAGAATCCCAGGCTTTGCCAGAACCAAAAAAAAGAACATGTATTTTGTTTCTCTGATATCTCACGATGGCTCCTAGGACATAAAACATGTCCAGTTTGCAGAACTACTTTGAGTCAAGAAACCTTGAGACAACCAACAGGATTTCTGATGAATTATTTGAACGATCTGAAAATCAAGTGCGATCATCAAAATCGAGGATGTCCTGACTACGTTCGTCTGGAACATCTTCCAGGACATGTCGGGGAATGTGGATATGGTCCTGTGAGGTGTCGCTGTGGAACGGAGGTTAATAAAAGAGATATTGAAAATCACGACAAAAATTTCTGTCCATTTAAACTGGCCAAATGTCACGACTGCGAAAATATCAAAGTAAGTAGCTAATAAATAAAAAATATATTAATGACTTTAACACCTGTTATTTATCCCGTTTTTCAGGCAGCATTATTTATCAGCTTTTCGCATCCATTGCAAAGTAAACTTATTAAATATAGTTCTGGTTAATGGCGAAGACAAAATAAGTTTTCATGTCGTATTTAGTTCATGAAATTCCTTAATAGATTCAGCCCCAAGCTAGAAAAATCTGTTATTTTAATTTATCTGTATGCATGGTTAAGACTTTTTAGTTCTTAGACTTTTGTTGTACCTTTTCCTTTTTGCTACCGGCAATTAGTTTCATGAAATACTATAATCTTGAAATACTATAGTCTATCAAAAGTTTTTTAAGCCTTTTAACGAGCTGTAGCGACTAAACCCTCCATATTTTTTATGCGAAGATTTCTAAAATCTGAAACATATCATCAAAAATTCATGGTCGGAAGACAAGGGAAATTCACTATATATGTTGACAATTTAACTTTGATTTAAGGCATATCAGAATAAAACGAATGTTCAAATGAAAATAAATCAGGATGAAATGAAGGTAAGACAAGTCGTAGGAATCCACTGCTTTGAGTTGGAAATTTTACAGATGATTATACAAAGATTTCTAAAATCATGGTCGAAAGACAAAGGTCAAAGGAGACTATATGTACTTACTATATATGATATATGTGACTTAGAAAAATGTGGATCAAACGAATGTTCGAATGACTGCAATAGTAAGAAAACAGGATGAAATGAAGAAAAAACAGGATGAAATGAAGGGAAATCAAGATGAGATGAAGAGAAATCAGGATGAAATGAAGGAAAATCAAGATGAGATGAAGACAAATCAGGATAAAATGAAGGAAAATCAAGATGAGATTAAGACAAATCAGGATGAAATAAAGGGAAATCAAGATGAGATGAAGACAAATCAGGATGAAATGAAGGGAAATCAAGATGAGATGAAGACAAATCAGGATGAAATGAAGGGAAATCAAGATGAGATTAAGACAAATCAGGATGAAATGAAGGAAAATCAAGATGAGATTAAGACAAATCAGGATGAAATGAAGGGAAATCAAGATGAGATAAAGGTAAGACAAGTCTTTTAGTCATTCTTTGCCTAGAACTGAGATAAAATCAATCAGCACCAAAATATATTTAGTTATACCCGGATTTTGAAAATCCGCAATAAAATGAAAAACAAAGGCCATGCACTAGACTGTAGTTGACATATCAAAGCAATTTTACTTCTAATCAGGAAAACGTGGATGAAATTAAGACAAGTCAGGATGAAATTAAGACAAGTCAGGATGAAACGAATATTCAAATGACTGCAATTGGAAGTAAACAGGATGAAATGAAGAAAAAACAGGATGAAATGCAGAAAAAACAGGATGAAATGAAGAGAAATCAGGATGAGATGAAGGTAGGACAAGTCTTTCAGTCATTCATTTCCTCCGTCATCTCATAGTTCGTCGTGTGTTTATATTCAAATCATTCGCCCAGACGGATAATCCGTCTCTTGTAATCAGGCCATTAACGTTTAATAAGATCAATTTTGCAAAATATCGCTCCTTCACTATGTCATCAAAAGTCAATTCATTATTATCACAACAGGAAAATATCAACACTTTTGATTCTTAAAAGTCAATGTGAATAAAATGAATGATCATTTCATTTTATCTACTGAAATACAAAAAATATATTAAATCTACATGGGAAGTGCATTTCAGCTTGTTTAAACCACAGGCTAGAAAGAGAAAAGGGATTAGACTTAAGCTGCATGTCCACTTGCAGAAATATAGTTCGCTAGCGAAATATTCGCATATTTTCGTTTGAAATGAAAAGAGTCAAGCTCAGGCATTAAAATGAGGACACGCTACACAGAAAATAACCGCTTGAAAAATGAATATGTGGGACTCAGATTTGAGCCTTGTTTTATTTATGCATACTCAGGATATTATACCATGTGCGCACAATTATTTGCAGGTAAATCAACCAAACATAGGTGAGAATCCTATATAGATGAATATAAATACGTTCTATGGGTGACTGAAGTATTTTATTTCCAATTTAGCAAAGTATGAACCAGATGAAAGAACAGTTTGAGAAAATGATGATCATGATGAACAAAGCATTTCAAGGATCACACAATATTATTATTATTGGTGGTCGGTATGGCCCAAGAGATGACACGATATTAAATACAGTCGAGAAATACAACACAGCAGAAAGAAAGTCAATTGCGCTGCCACGATTGAATCATCCTCGAGCAGCATCAGCATCGTGTGTTCACAACAATGACGTTCTTGTCGTTGGTGGTCACGATGGTAAAGTAGCAATTGGCAGGATCGAAGTTTTGAAGATGAACCAACATCCTTTGCGATGGACAATCTTTGATGGTAAACTGCCTGTCACATTATTTGCTCATGACGTCATAGTTTATCAAGGAAAATTATATACAATAGGAGGATATGACGGGAATAAGGGAAAAACGTCGAAAGCCATTTATGAGATTGCTCTTACCCCACCTTATACTGCAAAGCTGCTGACGAGAATGCCTAAGCCAAGACAATATCACAAAGCAGAACTTGTTAATGGAAAACTATTTATCTTGGGCGGATCAACAACCGGCTCTAGTAAAGATACTCTTGGAAGCGTTGTTGTTTATGATTTGATTAAGAATAAGTTGAAGACATATCCATCTTTACCTCAGCCTGTTTGTGCTATGTCCACAGTCATTTGGGGAAATACGATCATCGTCGTTGGTGGTGAGGATAAGTATGGTCGGGCATTAAATGACGTCATAATGTACGACACAGAGACTGGGCAAAGCGAGAGACTGCCCTCCATGATTCACAAAAGGTGCGACAGCTCTGCCGTGATGATAAATGACGTCGTTGTCGTGTTTGGTGGATGCAATAAAGAGCAGGGAGATCTCAACTCAGTGGAATCTTTCACCATTGGTGGAGATGGCTGGAAAGAACTGCCAGGAATGTTAGAAAAAAGACGCGCTGCTACTGCCGTAGTTAAACCGCTGTAGGTAAAGTATCAAAGAATAAATTCAATTATTTAATAAAGGAGGTTAGGATATGTTTTGAACGCCTCTTATTCTGCGTCGATAGAAATTTCATTTAAATCATAACATGACGATGAGACTGAAAGAATTATAATATGAATATCAAAATATTCAAATGTTGAATCACAACATAAAGTTGATTGAACACTCGAATAATTAATAAATATTTGTGAAATTTGCAGGAGAATTTGATGAAAAATTTGAAGTAAAAGAGTTTGTCTTTTTTTCCAAGATTGAGTTGAACACGAAGTTATAAATGAACAATCAGTGAATGATTACATGAATTAGGCTTTCAAGTCTCCGAGCGCCGCTGACCACCACTGATCTTTTATCAAACTGGATGATTGAAGATGTTTTGTAATAAAAATGATATTGTGATAATTATATCATATATAACTAATGTAGTCGCATGTATTTGCAAATATTGTAGATAAAGACAGAATATTCGTATATATTACTTGATATTGAAACTAATCTTGAAAACATTTGAGAATTGTTGAGAATTAGAGACAATAATAATGAACATTTATAAAACTAGGATAGAATATGGACGCTGAGTTCAGTCAGAACTAAACAATTGTAAATAAAACAAAATCTCAGATGATTCGTAACAAGTAACATTAGATCAGACAACTACAGTATATTCATTCTGATATTTTGCCTTCTTATTCCAAGACAATTTGCATGGTTTGTTAATAGTTTAAATTCTAATGCTAATGTATCATTGTAGAAGTTCATTAAATCAAATCAATTTTTTATGTACAATGTTATATACATCGCCAAATATTTTCATTCTAAGAAAATGCGTTTTGAAAAGTTACCCATGAGGCAAGGTAAGGCAAGGGTTGGGGATCAACGGATGATGAATAGGAATGTTTGGGGATAAATGGTATTGTCTGAGGAATTGCGCTAAGGAATCTCGTTTTATTTCGGGATATTTTTTTCGCTAAACACGCGCAGAAGACAAGAAATAATGAAATTGATCATTCTGATATAAAAGTGAAACACAAGCCATGTTTACTTTTATTCTGTGAGAAAATCTCCACATTAAACACGACTCTTCACAGATATTAAAATCTGATGCAGAAAATTCCCCGGCGTAAAACACTCTCACTGTAGACTTGAAAGTTCAACGTATTCACATGTGGACTGGATTATAGCAGACACGGAAATATTTATATTTGAAATTCTTTCATATTTCTTTACGCCTGAATTCTCAGTATGAGTTTTACTTGGAAATTTATAAAACTTCCACGAATGACATATTGAAACTAAAACTTCCGTGCACAAGAAATGCAATATTTTGAAGCTTTTATTTTATAAGTTAGTAAATAAATGACTATTAAAAAGACTACTTTGTGTTTATATGTTCTTAATAATGGAAAACTCTTTTTTAACATTGCAATTTCTGTTAAATATATCAGCATAAGTTGAGAATTGTTTTATGTTTTCCCAGGAAATTGAGGTGATTTAAGGTCAAGTTAAGTTTCCTCACATGATAATTTCGCAATATTAAAGTCATCGTCACAGATTGTGTTACACAAAGAACGAACAAGACTCGAGAATTGTTGCTGTGAAAATCACTGGTAAGTTTCTTGCAAGATTTGTTCCTAATCTTAGACAACTCTCAGACGCGAGATCGCACGAACTCAGCGCCATTGACGGGCAAATTGGTGCGTATCATTTGTTTGAGGTTTGGATACTATTCGCTTCCGAGTATCGCGTTCAGAATGCGAGCAGACGCTGAGCTAACAAAGGATTTCTCGAGGAAAGAAATGGACCCAAATTAATGAATTGACGGACGGTTCTGAGTTCGTCTGATCTCGTGAGAATCCTGTCTTAATAAATGAATGTTTAAATGGTGATTTTCATGAAATCTAAGAGATTCTAGCGAGTTAATACCTCGCGCAATGACTACAATAAACAAGGCTTATTTGAATATAATAATAAGTAAGAGATTATCCTGAAGTATTTGATGGACAATCATCGTCTTGAATACAACAATATATATCACGTTAAATATAGGCTCGTATTTTGTGTTGAAATACAAAGAAGGCTGTGATTTTGTTTATTGCGTTTAAGATAGACTTTCTAGGTCTAAAATGTGTTTGAACAAAGTGCGCATGCTCAGTTAGGGATGGGCTGACATGGTATATTTTCATAATCAACTTAAGGAGGTTCTGATATATAAACTGTTAATGCTGCACAGTGAATATAGAATAGTTGAGTAGATTTCTTGACGCTAAGATTATAAGTTTTTTGCACATATTATTCTTCACAGACTGATCTCTACCTGTGAGGTAACCACTCAAAGAATCTTTTGATGAAAATAAAATAAAGGCAATATCTAAGTTTGAATATTGTATTGTTTTGGTCGGATATAACCGGAACTCACATTCAAGAGAATAGCTAGAAATTCGAAGCATATTTTTACGAAATTAGCATAGAATTGAAAATGATTTCCTGTTTATTGAAAGGACTGAATTTTGTTATATTTGTGAAATGCTTCAACGCAAATATTCTGAATTGTCCGCGAGTTGAAACTACCAGCGTTTTTAACTTTAACTGAACAAAGTTTTGCTCAAATCCTCCAATTGAAAAACGTCGTTTATCCACGTTTTGGACTTGAGAAGGTTTAAAAACATGAAAATATTATTTTGCGATGCTTTTTTCTAATTCAGCAGAACTATGGCAGCGAGATGGGAAGATGATTTGCAAGGTTATGACGTGGGTCGTTTTCAAGGAGAAGTCAACGAAGATCTGCTTTGTTCCATTTGTCAGGAAGTTCCAAAGGATCCCAGACTTTGCCAACACAAAGATCATATATTTTGTTTCGCTCATATATCACGACATCTCGTTCAAAACTCTCAAACATGTCCAGTTTGCAGAGATGCTCTGACTCAAGAAACCTTGAGACGACCAACAGGATTTCTGAAGAATTATTGGGAAGGTCTGAAAATCAAGTGTGATCATCATGAACGAGGATGTCCTGACTACGTTCGTCTGGAACATCTTCCAAAACATATCGAGGAATGTGGATATGCTCCTGTCATGTGTCGTAATGAAGGATGTGATACAGAGGTCAATAGAAGAGATATTGAAACTCACGAGAAAAATTTCTGTCAATTCACTCGGGCTAAATGTCACCACTGTAAAAATATCAAGGTGCGTCAAGCATAAAATTAAGATGTTTGGATGGTTACACTCGTATTTTGTCGAGTTGTACGCAATTTATCTCAATAACAATTTCACTTTGACTTAGAAAAATGTCGATGAGACGAACGTTCGAATGACTGGGATAGAAAGAAAACTTGATGAAATGAAGAAAAAACAGGATGAAATAAAGGTAAGACTAACCATGCATTCAGTTAATATTTGCTTTAAATTAGGATGGATTGAATTGTTGTTAAAAAATTTAATTATTCTGAAATCTGACACTTACATATAATTAATAACTTGACTTAGAAAAATGTGGATGAAATTGAAGCAAGTCAGGTTCAAACGAATGTTCAGATGACGGCGATTAGAAGTAAACAGGATGAGATGAAGACAAATCAGGATGAGATGAAGGTAGGACAAGTCTTTCAGTTATTTTATTCAATGAAAATTAGGTTTTAATTTGAGTTGCATTTGTTTTAAAAAATTAAGTCGTACCTTGAAAAATGAATTCTGAAAGGTATCATTAATAATCTGACTTAGAAAAACGTGGATGAAATTAAGGCAAGTCAGGTTCAAATGAATGTTCAAATGATTTATTTTTAATTTAGCAAAGTATGAACGAGATGAAAGAACAGTTTGAGAAAATAATGGTTATGATGAACCAAACATTTCAAAGAAATAATACAAACAAGAATGGTGCCAGCGCTATGAATCACACAAGTCCAGTCAACAATCAAAATATTATTATTATTGGTGGTCGGGATGGCCCAGGAAATGACAACGTATTAAATACAGTAGAGAAATACAACATAGTAGAGGAAAAGTCAACTCTGCTGCCACGATTGAGTCATCCTCGAGCAGCATCAGCATCGTGTGTTTACAACAATGACGTTCTTGTCGTTGGTGGTTACGATGGTAAAGCAGGAACTGACACGATCGAAGTTTTGAAGATGAACCATCATCCTTTGCGATGGACAATGTTTGATGGCAAACTGCCAATCAAATTATATGCTCATGACGTCATAGTTTATCAAGGAAAATTATATATAATAGGAGGATATGACGGGAATGAAAGAAAAATATCGAAGGCCATTTATGAGATTGCTCTTACCCCACCTTATACTGTCAAGCTGCTGACGAGAATGCCTGAGGAAAGAACATTTCACAAAGCGGAACTTGTTAATGGAGAACTATTTATCTTGGGCGGAACAACAAACGGCCTTAGAAAAGATGCTCTTGACAGCGTTGTTGTTTATGATTTGATTAAGAATGAGTTCAAGCCATGTCCATCGTTACCTCAGCCTGTTTGTGCTATGTCCACAGTCACTTGGGGTCATATGATCATCGTCGTTGGCGGCTTCGATAAAAATGGTAAGGTGTTAAATGACGTCATCATGTACGACACAGAGACTGGGCGAAGCGAGAGACTGCCCTCTATGATTCACAAAAGGAGCGGCAGCTCTGTCGTAATCATGAATGACGTCATTGTCGTGTTTGGTGGATGGAATGAGGAGCAGGGATATCTCAACTCAGTGGAATCTTTCACCATTGGTGAAGTTGGCTGGAAAGAACTGCCAGGAATGATAGAAAAAAGACGCATTGCAACTGCTGTAGTTAAACCTCTGTAGGTAAAGTATCAAAGAATTATTTCAGTTATTTAATAAAGGAGGTTAGGATGTGTTTTGAACGCTTTCATTCTGCGTCGATAGAAATTTCATTTAAATCATAACATGACGATGAGACTGGAAGAATTATAATATGAATATCAAAATATTCAAATGTTGAATCACAACATAAAGTTGATAGAACACTTGAATTCTTAATGAATAATTGTGAAACTTGCAGGAGAATTTGATGAAATATTTGAAGTGAAAGAGTTTGTCATTTTTCCAAGATTGAGATGGACACGAAGTTATAAATGAACAATCAGTGAATGATTACATGAATTAGGTTTTCAAGTCTCTGAGCGCCGCTGACCACCACTGATCTTTTATGAAACTGGATGATTAAAGATGTTTTGTAATAAAAATGATATTGTGATAATTATATCATATATAACTGATGTAGTCGCGTGTATTTGTAAATATTGTAGATAAAGACAGAATATTCGTATATATTACTTGATATTGAAACTAATCTTTAAAACATTTGAGAATTGTTTAGAATTAGAGACAATAATAATGAACATTTATAAAACTAGGATAGAATATGGACGCTGAGTTCAGTCAGAACTGAACAATTGTAAATAAAACAAAATCTCAGATGATTCGTAACAAGTAACATTAGGTCAGACAACTACAGTATATTCATTCTGATATTTTCTCTTCTTATTTCAAGACAATTTGCATGGTTTGTTAATAGTTTTAATTCTAATGTTAATGTATCATTGTAGAAGTTCATTAAATCAAATCAATTTTTTATGTACAATGTTATATACATCGCCAAATATTTCCATTCTAAGAAAATGCGTTTTGAAAAGTTACCCATGGGGTAAGGTAAGGTAAGGGATCAACGGATGATGAAGAGGAATGTT